TCCAGTTAGAATTATATTCTCCAATGGGACACATCCATAGCCAAGAGTCATCCATCAGGCTCTCCAGTTAAGAATTTTGCACGGCAGAAACCTCGGTTGCTTAGAAACTATCTTTGAAAACGTTTATGGAATGCAAGCTGCCTACTGCTCCCCCCTCCCTTTCTGTTGGCAACTCTAAAAGACCACAGAAATATTTTATCAGTTGACACTCACTTCTGGGTTTTTCCATCAGAACTGATTTGGACCACAGCACTTACCACAGTGTGGCTTACAGGTGCTCTTTTCTTGGTGGGGCGGGGGGTGGGGGAGTGGAACTTGATGGGAGTCCCATTTTCTTGCCAGGCTCCAGAGTAGAGAGACGAGATTCTCCCGTGGCTTCGCATCCTCTCCCAGGGATGCGCAGTGCCCCAAAGAACACAATCAGGACGGCCGCTGCATTCAGCACACACAAACATTCTTGGCCCCAGAGATTGTCTTTTCTTCTCCAGGAGCTTTTGGCTGACTACAGAGGAATCAAAAAAGGGCTTCCTTCACACTATTGTTGGTTTGCCAGCTTTAAAAATAATGAGCTTGGTGATGTGGCCTTTTATTCAGTGGCTGTCGGCCAGGACAGCCGAGCCTCAGCTGTGCAGAGCAAACCACAAGGAGCAGATTAGGGAAAGCAGAGGTCTCCAACCTTGGCCAATTTAAGCCTGCCAGTCTTCAACTCTGGGAGTTGAAGTCCTCCAGGCTTAAAGTGGCCAAGGTTGGAGACCCCTGATCTAAAGTATGGTGACTGGAGCCTTTGCAGGCTCTTCCCCCCAGCCCCATCAAGATCTCTTAATTTACTGTTCTCAAAATATGGGCTGTGGACCCTGGAGTGGGGGGGGTTGATGTCATCATGGGGTTCATGAAGGCTTGAAGAAATGTCGTGATTTAGATCTTAATTCTTGGAGGTCTGTGGCCAGGGTCCCTGCCAGAAAAGGTATTTAAACGGGTTCCATGGTGAAGAAGAGGTTGTGTATTACTGCCCTGGTCCCAACAGCCACAAGTATGATGTGCGCAGCCTGGATGCCAGTGGAACAGCCCTAGCCAACCTGGGCTTCACACTTTGGAAACAGCAACAATGTTTAAACTTATATACTGCTTCACCGTGCTTTTGCAGCCCTCTCTAAGCAATTTACAGAGTCAGCCTTTTGCCCCCAACAATCTGGGTCCTCATTTGACCCACCTCGGAAGGACGGAAGGCTGAGTCAATCTTGAGCTGGTGAGGATCGAACTGCTGGCAGTTGGCAGAATTAGCGTGCAATACTGAATTCTAGCCACTGCACCAACATGGAAGGGAGGGAGGGAGGAAAAGGAGGGAGGAAAGGGAGGGAGGGAGGAAGGATTAGTTATAGCCTAGACTTATATACCACTTCACAGTGCTCTACAGCCCTCTCTAAGCGGTTTACAGTCTCCCTCTTGCCCCCAACAATCTGGGTCCTCATTTGACCCACCTCAGAAGGACAGCTCAGTCAACCTTGAGCCTGGTGAGATTCGAACTGCCAAATTGCAGTCAGCCCGTAGTCAGCAGAAATAGCCTGCAGTACTGCATTCTAACCATTGCGCCACCCAGCAGTAGCCCTTAGACTTATATACCACTTCACAGTGCTTTTACAGCCCTCTCTAAGCAATTTACAGAGTCAGCCTCTTGCCCCCAACCATCTGGGTCCTCATTTGACCCACCTCCGGAAGGATGGAAGGCTGAGTCAACCCGGAGCCGCTCAGGATCGAACTGCTAGCAGTGGGCAGAATTAGCTGCAATACTGCATTCTAACCACTGGGCCACCACGGCTCTTATGTTCGTTCTCGTAAACTTTGCGAGGTCAAAAATTGCGGCAAAAGCCAGGACCCCCCTCTGGCAAGTTACTCCCTCCTGTGTGGGGCTTGGTTTGGGGTCCAAAGGATGCTGCTGAACCTTCCCCTCTTCGTTGTGCAAGATTGTCTCCTTCCCTCACTTCTTTCTTTCTCTTTTTCTCTCCCTCCCTTTGCTGGATCCTGGTGCTATCTTTGACCTCAAAGGTTCCCGGGGGTCAGATGCCAGCCCGTCCCACTTGTCCCCTGGAAGCTCTGCGAGCACGCCGGCCCCCGCAGAAGAAATCTGGGTGCTCCGGAAGCCCTTTGCAGGTAGGATGAGAAAGGGGGGGGGTCATGGCGGTAGGTGGGGGTGCATTCTCCTGCGGTGAGGCAGTGTGGGGGTTTGGGGCAGTGGCTGGTTGATGGGGAGAGGCGTGATGCCAGGTGGGATGTGTCCTGGAGAATTGTACCAGCCATTCCCCCAAGGAGGCGAAACTGAAGATGGGAGGGGTCTTTCCTCTCTTTTTTTGGTGGGGGGGCAAGCACAACCCCTCCTTCAATATCCCTCTCTCCAACCTGGAGCAAGTCAAGACCCCCAAAACCAAAGTCAGGGGAACCTGCAGCTCGGAAAAATTTCTGCCTCTGAATGAAGTTTGTGAATGGGATAAAATGCTGCCAAGGCGCCTCCTGATCCCCTGCTCGTATAGAGCAAGGCCCCTGGGTTTCCTCCCATAACGTCCACTTAGCAGATAACAGATAATCAGAGTTGGAAGGGAGCTTGTAGGTCATCTAGTCCAACCCCCCCCCCCGCCCAGGCAGGAGACCCTACACACCATTTCTGACAGATGGCAGTCCAGTCTCTTCTTGAAAGCCTCCAATGATGAAGCTCCCACAACTTCCGAAGGCAACTTCTGTTCCATGGGTTGATTGTTCTCACTGTCAGAAAATCCCTCCTTATTTCCAGGTTGGATCTCTCCTTGGTCAGTTTCCATCTATTATTCCTTGTCTGGCCTTCGGGTGCTTTGGAAAATAGCTTGACACCGCCCCCCTCCTCCTCTCTGGGGCAGCCCCTCAAATATTGGAAGGCTGCTCTCTTGTCTTCCCTGGTCCTTCTCTTCACTAGACTAGCCAGGCCCAGTTCCAGCAACCATTTAGCCTCCAGTCCCCTAATCATCCTGGTTGCTCTTCTCTGCACTTTTTCTAGAGTCTCAACATCTTCTTTATAGTGTGGTGACCAAAACTGGATGCAGTACTCTCGGTGTGGTCTTACTAAGGCTTTGTAGAGTGGTATTAGGACCTCCCTTGATCTTGATTGTATCCCTCTGTTAATGCAACTTAGGATTGTTCACTTCAAGAAAGGAGCTTTACAGAAACGTTTCAAGATATCCTTCAGTCAATCAGGATAGAGTTGCCTTAGCAGTTGATGGGGGTGATTTTTTTCCCTTGATGTATTTTAAGGCTTCAAGACCCTCGGAGAGTGTTTGGCTTAACGTGGTTTTCTGAAGAGGGATTTGTGTGTGTGTGTTTTGTCCATTTGCCTGTTTTGGGTGGACAGCAATTTTACACGCACCCCTGCAATCTGGTGTTGCCCTCGATTTCAGCAGCACAATAGGGGTGGCCAGGAAACGGGCATGCGGGACCCCCCCCCCCCGGTCCGGGATTGTGGCTACCAGTCCTGAGCAAAACGCCCATCGTAGGATGGAGCTGCCCTTGCTTTGGTCCTGCCAACTGTCTTGCCCTCCCTTCCCCCTCTAGGAGGCGATCGCAGCAGCGTGGGCAGCTCTGGAAGCATCACCAGTGGACGGAGCTCGGGCAGCGGCCAGAGCACTGGAAGTGGAGGGCATGGGGCCCTTCACCCTGGTTCCGAAGGCGTGAAGGTAAGCCCGAGTCCCATTCCCCGGAGGGCTGGATGTGCCGCGGAGCTAAACCTGGAGCTCTCCAGCCCACCCGTTGGCCCAAGTCTCACCCGGTAGCCCTTGTCTAGTTGTATATCTTTTTAAGACCGTAAGCTGCCCCGGGGGAGGGTAAGATGGGCAGCCGATACATTTTTACAAATCAAAAACAAACCAGTTGCTGTCCATCCTTGACATTCCTTGGTCTTCTCCTGCCCCCTTGTGGCTGCGGGTTGGATTGCTTGCCCCTGCTGATGCCATGCGCTTGGCCAGTGACCCCGGGGGCTCCTTCCTTCCCTGGGGAAACTGGGCCAGGAGGAGGGGGAGGAGGGGCAGGCCGGTAGCTCCCCAATCGCCTGCCTGCACCAGAATTCTCTTTTCGAGCTGGCTCGGCTGCAGCCACGAATGCCAAGCAGGCAGCGCCATTGTGCCACCCGTTCGCTCCCCGTGCTGCCGCTTTTGCCACTTTGCCAAACTGAGTCACAGCTCTGGGAGAAAAACACCTGATTCTCCCTGGGCTCCAGGCGTCTCGTGTCCCTGTTTTTCTGCTCTGCCGTTTCCCCCCCCTCCCCCCCCCTCTTGCCTGCCTCCCTTTTCTGATTTAACGCTTTCTTGCTGTTCCTCCCCCCATTTCTCAGCTGCTGGCAACTGTCCTTTCCCAGAAGGCGTCTGTGCAAGAATCTGCTGTGAGCGACGGGCCTGCCAAGGCGGTGGAGACACCCGCAGGTGCGTGGATGCTCCGGAGGACAGCTGGTCCCTCTGTCCCCACAGGAGCGTTTCTTATTTCCCGGACCAGCGGCTTCTCCGGGAGAACATGACCCTCTCTTTCTCCTGCTGCTGCCAGCCCTTCGCTTGCTTCGGTTAGTGGGGAGCACCGGGGGGGGGGGGCGGGGGGGGCACCATGGCCAAGGGAAAACAAGACACCCCCCTCCCCTCCGCCTCTGTTGAACATGCACGCTGGGGGAGCGCTGTTGGTCGCAGGACAGTCTGTTTCCTACCCCTCACCCTCACCCCTTGGTGTTGCCACCCCCTTTGGTTGGGGTTCGGAGCGCCATTCTCACCCCACCCCCCCAGGCATTGCTGCTCTGCTCCTGCTCTTCCCCTCGACAGAGCACTGCAAGAGCTACTCGGTGGCAGGAGGGGGCGAGGAGGGAGGGTGGGGGGTCAGCAAAGGCTGCTTTCTGCAGTGCCCTCCGTCCTTGAGATCCTAGATAGGTGGTGTGTCAAGACCCTCGCTTTGGGAGAAAGGGGCTTCCTTGGTTTGGAATGGGGGGGAAGAAGGCAGCCACCGGGCTACTCGGATCTGTGCCGTTCAGGGTTGTTCTTCTGAGATGCTGGCCGCATTATGGCTCTGCCAGGGGGGGGGGGGGGGGGGGGGGGCGTCCTGTGCCTTCTGTGAAGCAGCTTTTTAATTTTGGAACTGACCTTTTCTGGAGTCACCAAGCTGGACATTTCTGATGGTCTCCTTCCCTCCCTCCCGAGGTTCAAGGGGTGGTTTGCCAGCCTGATGCCGGAGGTCTTGATAGCCCTTGGATGAAGCCGGAGACCTTGCATGTTAGCTGGACTGGAAGTGGGTTGGAATCCTTGTTGAGGGTTTGACGGCAGAACATGGCTTGGGGGACATCAAAGTCACCTTGGCTGCCATCTTGATCTTCTACCACCTGCTTGGTGGGAAGAAGGTGCTGCCTGAGTGAGGCTGGGCCTCCCGCCTTCCCTTTGCCCTTCTCTGGCTGGAAAGGAAACGGAGCCCCTGCGCAGCTCCAAGTGCGAGAGGATGACAGCCTCCCACACTCAGACGAGCCATCTGTGCTGTGGCACCAGCACGCTAGTCCGTTTCTCCCAATGTCCTGCGGACGGCCATCTTGTCCTGCCAGGGAAAGCGCCCACAGCGTACCCGGGGCCTTCTTTGCACCCGAAGCTCCTAATTTTCTGCTGTGCTGAGAATTCCTGCCTGCTCTGTGACAGGTTCTTCCCGGACGCCAGGATTGGGCAGCACGCCCTACCCCAGCCAGCCCTATGGGGACCAGCAGGTCAAGAAGGTGGAGCCACAGTCCGAGGGGAAGGCAAGTTTTGGGCTCCCCCGAGCAGCTCCCGACGGACCTGGGCAAGAGTGGCCTGAGGGTCCCTGCAGCCTTCCTCAGGGTGGGGGGGTGGGGGGGGGGGGGGGGGGGCCCCGTTTTCTTTGGGGGGGGGGGGGGGGGGGGGGGGGGGCTAGCTGTAACCTTTTCTGTTGGGTTGGACTTACAGGGATGGGTGGGAGTATTTTTAGGGACAGGTGAGGCTTGCAGGTATTTCAAAGCACCCATTTTTGTCCCTTGTTCACCACCGCCACTTCCCGCCCGATGCCTCATTCATTTCGGAATTCCGAATAAAACCTGGAGAAACGAGCTGGCGAAAAGGTGGCTTGGTAGAGTCCAGAGACAGGCCATGGCTCAGATCAAGCCTTGGTGCTGCTGTGGAATTGAGCTGGCAGCCCTTTTAGGCACTGACTGACTTTTTCCAATCTGTTGTCAAGGAGAGGAAAGAGGGGAAGGGAGAGCTTGCTTAAGGGTGCCGTATGTGGGCTGCAAAAATTTGGACTGGCACCCCAAAACAAGGCAGAGTTGGGTGTTTTCGGTGCCGCTTTCTGGCTGGCAACGTCCAGGAGGGCAGTTCTCCTTTTAGCTCTATCTCCCCCCCCACCCCCAAAAAGGGAACCCTTAGGCTTGGTTGGAGGGTGGGAGTTAAATCTGGGGAAAGCTGCTTGGCAGTTTCGGTTCTCTTGGCTTCGCCTCCTTTTCATGAGACAGTCAAGATGCTGCAGAGAAAGGACAGAGCTGGCCAGAGCTGTACCATACGAAATTATAAGATCCTTTTTCTTTTCTTTTTTTTTTTACTGGTTGCCTTTTCAGGTTTATTAAACCCCTTCCTGGAACTGAATGAGATAAATGTGGAAAGGAAGGAAAGGGAGGAAACTGCAGCTGGGGTTAGAAACAGGTTGCTTTCTTGCCTGGAGACAGATTCTGCCGGTGGGAAGAGATCCCCAAAATAGTGACGGGGATCTTAGAGGCTGGAAAGAAGACAACAAGCCTCCTTAAGGATAGGAAAAATAAAAGAAAATAAGACCTGCTCTGATCAAAACCTCCCTCCGCCCAGCATTCAGGCAGGCGATTCTGGGTTTGCTAAAGAGACGTAATATCTACTGGTAATTGACCTGCGCCTCTCTCTTCCCACCCAGAGCTCCGAGGCCGTCTACCAGTGGCTGTACAAGTTTCAGCTACAGCTCTACGCCTCCAACTTCATCAATGCTGGTTATGACATTCCCACCATCAGCCGGATGACCCCCGAGGTGAGGAGGGCTCTTGCTGGGGAAAACGGAGAACTAAGGGTTGCCCTTCAGGAAGAGCCTGGTGGACTGGAGGGAGCACCCTGATGATTTCTAAAAGGACTGTTCTATTTTTAAACGTTAGAAGTGATAATTTTTTAAAAAGCGAAGCTAACGCCACTCTCACACCGATGTGTTGACCGTATCCATCAACCACTCGGGTGGGAGCATCTCCACTCACAAGGATTAATAAGGAGTGAAACTGCAGCCGATCAACCCGGTCCTTGGGAGCACTTTGTCCTTTGGAGACTTTCGAAACTCATTTGTTTGGCAGAAAAAGGGAGGGCGGCCTCCTAAGGCACAGGTGTGCACAAAAGACGGTTTTTAAAAAGTGGTGGCTGCATGGGCAGAGTCAAAATTCTGCCTGTTTTGAATGTTTGATGCCGCCATCTTGGTTTTTGTTGACTCACCTAGCAGTGATAACCTGTCACTGGAACTGTAGGAAGGAAGAGGACAGCCCCCCCCATTTTAGAGCACAGGTATTATTATGATTGTTGGGGTGCAATAGATCAGGGGTTAAGAAGGTGAGCATGACAACCGGGTTCGAGACCTGAGAGCCATGCAATGGGGTAACCAGCTCCTGCCTACCTAGCAGTTTGAAAGTATGAAAATGCGAGTAGATAAATAGATACCACTTTAGTGGGAAGGCAGCAGAGTTCCATGTTTCACTATATGCTCTGCAGTGCGCTATGTTGCCATGCTGGCCACATGACTGCAGAAGAGTATTCAAACAATGCTCCCTTTGGCTAAGAAATGGAGATAAGCACCATCCCTAAAGTTGGATACAACTGGACAGGAGAAACCTCTACCTTTATTTATTACCTATGTTTCCCCCAAAATAAGACCCCGTCTTATTTTCTTTGGGGCCCCAAAGTAACCACCAGGACTTATGTTCAGGGGATGTCTTACACACTTACCTTAGAATCACCACAGCCAGATCTCCGATGCTCTGACGCCTGTTGCGCTGCTGCCTGACTTCTTCTGCAGCCAGACACTATGTGGCGCATCGCACCAGTGCCACTGCTGGGGCAGGAGACCACACGGCAGCACCAGTGCGATGTGCCAAGGGGTCTTCTGCTGTGAGCAGCGGCACTGGCACAATGCACCATGCGATGTCTGGCCGCCAGTGACTGCAGAAGTTGGACAGCAGCGTGACAGGCGTCGGCATGTGGGAGGCCTGGCTGCGGGGGTCCTAAGGTAAGCAGATGCTGGGGTGCGTTAGGGCAGCTCCACCACCCCCTCCACCCTAGCTTGATATTTATGCACGCGCCTCATCCCACTTCGTACAACCAGGGCTTATTTTTTGGGTAGGGATTATATTAGGCGCACCTGTAAAATACAGCTAGGGCTTATTTTCAGGATAGGTTGTATTTTCGGGCAAACACGGTATGAATGTAAGAGGGTTAATTTCCTTCCTTAGGTACCTTCTGTTCCTCTCCAAAGTGAGCTTAAAAAGTCTGTTTTTAAAAAACTTAAATAGAACATGAGTCATTCCTGGAGGGGAAAAAAAAACCTTCTTTGAGCCCTGCTTCGTTCCTGGCGATTTGCAAAATCCACCCAAGCAGATTTTTTGGCAAGAAGTGTTTTGCCCTCTGCCAACACTTTTTGCGATGTGTTTTAGCTTCCCAGCCTAGTTGGTAGTTCTAGAACTGACTAGTTGTCATCCATCTGGATTTAATTCTTAACTTTTGCAAGATTAACCATGGTCAGCTAGAAGATGTCACCTCAAGGGGTGCTCCTGCAAATAATCTTGATCCAACATGCCTGGACAGGTGAGTGGAAGAGTGGGGAGGGGGCCCAGACCCTGAAAAGAAGTGACAGAGGACACTGCAGAGTGACACTTCTCTGAGTTTGTTGGGTATCAGAATCTAAGGAGGACCAGGTTGGCTTAGAATTGGGATGGAAGACCACATGGTGTTCCACGCTAGAAGCTAAACCACTGAAAATGTATTTTTAAGAATAACAGACTGAAAGGGTCATGAAGATAAAGCTTGAGAGATGAAAATTTGAACGATGTTGCTAGGCTGAAAGCAAGGAAGACTGGCAAAAGCTCCTTTTAAAGGCAAAAATGGAAAGGGGGAAACCTGACCTAATGCAGGGATGTTCAAACTTGACAGCTTTAAGACTTGCGGACTTCAACTCCCAGAATTCCTCCTCCAGTCATGTTAGCTCAGGAAATCTAGGAGTTGAAGCCCACAAAGCTTAAACTTGCCAAGTTTGAAGACCCTTGGCCTAATGTATTCAGTCACTTGTTGATCAAGAAAAGAGAGACACGAGACTGGAAAAAGTAAATGGGCATTTTATTTTATTTACTCATCCCGTCTCTACACTGCCCACCTCACCAAGGGACTCTAGGCGTTAATCCTAAATAGGGAAGCAGTGACAAATTTGGACAAAAGTGTGAAAAATAAGGACCTTTTTCCTCTGGTGACTAAGACCAGATGTTGGAAACGTGGCCTTTCTAGGCTAATCAAGGCTGTGAAAGTGGTTGCTAAGCTGGGAAGTGAATAAGCATCCTGAAAAGATCATGGAACAATGTGACATCCCAGGAGCCGAGCTTGACTTTGTCTGACTGCATGCATCTGGTGCAAGTTTATCTTCTCTGTGGTTGGGCCGTCATAGCCATTCACAGACCAAACCTAGTCCCAAAATGCTAGAGCAAGGGTCCCCAACTCCCAGGCTGTGGTCCACTTCAGAACCAGGCCACACAAGCAGAGAGCGAGCGTGCACGGGCCTGTAATTCCACTTGCGCAAGCAATAGGTGCGCTCAGGTCTGAAGCTCTATTTGCACGAGCGGCAGACACTTGCACGCTTGTACATACGCCCACCACTCACACAAAACTATTCCCTCTTTGCCCCCGCCAGTCCAGAAAGGTTGGGGATTGCTGCACTACACAATTCCTGCAAGCCTGGCACTCAGACAAATCAGCCATCAACAGACACATAGAGATAAACAACATCTACATACCATTCAAAAAGCCAAAAATGAACACAAAAACCAAAACATCTCCTTGCTAACCATCAACAGCCAGACGAGCATCAGGATTATCTCTAGACTGACGATAAAAAAAGCAATATCCCAAACAAGGAATTACCAACTCAATCAGTAAACAACACTCTAACCAAGGACCCATCAACAGCACCCCCACCAACAATGACAGGGCAAGCCACAAGGATTAAAAAAAAGAAGATGAGAAGTGAACCCTCCTGTCTTGCAGCACTGATGATGTTACCTAGTTGGGTCATGAAAGGTCTGCAAGAAAACAACCAAAGTCAGGGAGCACCAATGACCCCACAGTTCAATCCTGAGCTACAAATATTCTATCGTTTCTTAGCTCCAAACGCTTTTGGGGTTTTTAATGTGTGCTTGCTGCTCTCTGGGGCTCGAATGATGGGGGAATTCTTTTTGATTTAGGACTTGACAGCCATTGGGGTCACCAAGCCGGGACACAGAAAGAAGATCGCCTCTGAGATCAACATCCTGAACATTCCTGAGTGGCTTCCAGAATACAAGCCAGTGAGCGGCCTCAGATCTTGCTGCACTTGGGGTGGGGAAGGTGTAAGCTCAAATTGTAAATCACCGAACCAGTAGTTACACCGGTCGTAAGTCGAGGACTACCTGCATGAGGAGAAACCAAAACTTTCTTCTCCCCTTCCCGGAGCAGAACCTGGCAGCAAAAGAGCGAAACGCTGGGATTCCTTCTGCCACCGTTGGCGGAAAGCGAGAAACCGGGCTCAAAGAGTCCAGCGGAAGCTCTTAATTAAACAGACATAATTTGAAAACTCTCCAAGGAGCTCTGCTAATCGACAATGGGTAGAGTAGCATTGCAAGGCTGTTTTAATTATGGGGAAGAGGTCAGAAATTCCTCAGGGACTTTTCAAATTACAACTGCAGTGTTTAATGCGGAAAAAAAATATGGAGGAACTATGCAGATAACACGGAAGGCGCCGATTGGACACCGATGGTTAGGATGGTGGATGGGCTCCACGGGGGGATTCTGGGGCTGCAGCCTCTTGCTCTGTGAAATGGCTTGTTAATAGCTTGTTTCTCAACCTTGGTGGCTTGAAGTGGCGTGGACTTCAACTCCCAGAATTCATTCCCCAGCCAGAATTCCGGGAGTTGGAAGTCCACACCTCTTCAAGCCGCCAAGGCGGAGAAACACTGGCTTATTATAATCCTCTGTCCCTCCCAGGCAAACCTGGCCCTCTGGCTCTCCATGATTGGTCTGGCACAGTATTACAAAGTCCTGGTGGAAAATGGCTACGAGAACATCGATTTTATCACCGATATCACCTGGGAGGATCTGCAGGAGATCGGCATCATCAAACTGGGTGAGGGGAACAGGGAGGCGCCTCCATTCTCAGCCAGAAACTTAAATCAGGGTCTTGGTGTCCCTCTGTGCGTGTATTCTGACCTTCCTCAACCACACAAAGCCAAGTCCTTGTCCCAATAAACCCCGTTTTATTTAATTTACAGTGAATTCCTCTCCAGCAAAGCCCCGGCCAACAGTCTTTCGAGGTAATTCCCAATGACAGACCTTTATCAGGCTTGAAGAATGGTCGGGCCGATATCTTTCAGACACCACAATACTTGGCAAGAATGCAGGAATGAACTAATTGTCTCCTGCAAAGCCCCACTCCCCTTTCTCTCCTTTTATTCCCTATGGAAGGGGCCATTCACTGTCCGCCTGTGGCTTTACTCCCGAGTTGACCCTTGTTCCTTAGCTGTTCCCTTCGTCTGACAGTTCTGGGCATGCGCACACTGGGAACATGCTCCAGCTATTCTTCTGCCCACTGATCTCCGACTCCGAAGGCAGCTGATAACTATCAGACAGCCCTGGCCCCATCTCTGCCTCCGATGCAGAGCCCTCGTCCGAGCCTTCCCCAGACTCCAGGACTGGCCCAGGTTCCTCCCCAACCCCCTCACTGTCTGAATCTGCTGCCAGCTCTGCTGGCCATTGATGGGCCACAACAGCAGGTTTTGGTCCCGAGTTAAGATAGAGGGCAGAGTAAGGCGTTTAAGTCTGCCTCAGTTTCTCCAATCTCGTGCCTTCAAGATGTCTTGAAGTTACAACTTCCATTATTCTGAAGGATGCCAGGCTGGGAAAGTCCAGCCTATATTGTGACAATGAAGCTGGTGTTGGGATAGGAGAAGGTGCATATAGAGGGAAGAACAGATTACCTGGGAAGAGGCACTTACAAGAAGCCATTCTACGGCAGGGATATAACACAACGTAATGTATTGGTTCAAAAGAGGCCATGTTTCTGCCAGTTAAGTATTTCCCAAGTGCTGAACACCAATATCTTAACTAGACAAGAGAAAAAAAATGTTTTTTGCTGAGGTTCCTTCAAGTGGCACAGCAGAGACTATCTGCCATTTTAATGACTGAACTGTTTTTAAAAAAATGGGAGGGGAGGAAGGAAGGCTGATGAAGATTTCTGCATCTTTAAAAGTCTGATCTTTAGGAATGACAAATTCCTTGGGGTTCTTCCAGGCATTGGAAGGGGTACAAATTCTGAGCTCTGAAGAGGAGGAAGAAGCAAGGAAGGGGTGTGTGTATGTGTGTGTGTGTGTGTGTGTGTGTGTGTGTTCCATTCCTCATATCTAATCTCGATGCCAGAGGAGAGGGACAATTATAGACACTGAAACCACTGAACCTGGGCAAGGTTGGGCATCAGCTGGCCATCCAACCAAACAGCCCACCTAGTGGCTATTGAACAGCAAGGAGCAGGAAAAACGGGGTTCAAGAAAAGTGGGGGGCCCTACCAGGACAAAATAAGGTGTCAGATCGGTGTATGTCATTTCTTCAATGGAAGAAGAAAATGGGGGTAGACCTGATATAAGGTCAATTCCAGCTCAGGGATGCTATACTAAGCTAAAGTGTTGACTTTGGGTGGGACCAAGGGGACACCTGGCAGGTGAAATGGTTGAACTAAGATCTGTGATAGATCTTTTTTTTTCCCCTTTCTCTTCAATCCTGCCTCATTCTTAGAGACTTCCTCAACAAGTCCCTGCATTTTTGGGGGGCAATGTTTTATTTACAGAAGTGGTTTGCCATTGCCTCCTTCCTAGGGCTGTGATAAAGTAACGGGCCCAAGGTCATCCTGCTGGTTTCGTGCCTGAGGCAGGACTAGACAAATGTCTTAGCCACTACATCAAACTAGCTCTCGCTCAGTAGACCGAGTGAGACACAATCGTGCTGGTTTGGAGGTTTCTTTATGAAGGCTGTGCTAGAATTTTAACCAGTTTTGATCTCTCGTATCTGCTTAGGCCACCAGAAGAAGCTGATGCTAGCTGTGAAAAAGTTGGCAGAGATCCAGAAAGCGGAATACATCAAGTATGAATCTGGGACACTGAAGAAAAAGGGTGCACCACAGTCCCAGGACACGGTGGCCATAGAGTCTCCTCCGCAGGAAACGGCCGAATGCCAGTCCCCCAAGATGTCCACTTTCCAGGATAGCGAGCTGAGCAATGAACTGCAGGTGGCCATGACGGGCACCAGTGAAGAGGGGCCCGAGAAACAGGCCAACCATGTGACGCACTTCCGGGACGGGGCTGTTTACCGGCAAGCCTCCCGCCTTATCCATGAGAACAGCCTGAGTGGGAGAGCTAAGCTGATTAGTAGCTCCCAGGAACTGCTGGGAGATGGACCCAAATCTCCTGGCCCTTCAGCGTCCAAAAGCCAGGAGCACCTAGCAGAAGAGGGGAAGGAGCCTCCGGCCACCCTGCCCAAGGAAGTGCGTAGCCTCCGACATGGCCACAGCATCAAGAGGGCAAGCGTCCCACCGGTGCCTGGAAAACCCCGGCAATCCTTCCCTCCAGCTGCAGGCCACTACACCCCTCCGCAAACTCCCACCAAGCCCCGCCCATCCTCTCCTCAGGCTTTCGGGGTGCCCCACGCCACGGCCAAAGTCAAACCCACGCCACAGTTGCTGCCGCAAACCGACCGACCCATGTCTCCTCGTTCACTGCCTCAGTCTCCGACACACCGGGGTTTTGCCTATGTCCTGCCGCAACCTGTAGAGGGAGAGGCTCAGGCTGCAGGCCCCTTGGCTCAAGCTGTGCCGGTCCTGCCCATCTCCATCCCGGTGCTGTGCCTGCCACCCCAGGCTGCAGAGAGTGAGGAGGAGGCAGGTCGGCCCAAGAAGAGAGCCCACAGTCTGAATCGCTATGCAATGTCGGACAGCGAGCAGGAGCGGGACGAGCTGATGGTGCCAGATGCTGGGCCCTACGCCACTGTTCAACGGAGGGTCGGGCGCAGCCATTCTGTCCGGGCACAGTCGGGCGCTGACAAGAACGTGAACCGCAGCCAGTCCTTTGCTGTGCGGCCCAAGAAGAAGGGTCCTCCACCTCCACCGCCCAAGCGTTCTAGCTCTGCCATCTCCAGCAACAACATGACAGATGATTTTAGCAAAGAGGGAGAGGAGGGAGAAGAGCTGGACCAGAAGCAGCTGAGTGACGGGGGCACCATAGAGACAGGCAGTGCTGGGAGTGTAAAGAGCATTGCTGCCATGTTAGAAATGTCATCGATCGGTGGAGGGGGGCGGGCTCTTGCCCTGCAAAAGGGGGGTGATGGGTACTATTTGCAGCCTGGTGTGGTTGTAAGCTCAGCCAGTCCGGAACATGCCCGTGTTGCAACTGTTCTGGCCACCGTCAAGCACAAAGAGGCCATCGGACTAGACGGAGAAGTGGTGAACCGCCGACGCACCATCAGTGGCCCTGTGACTGGGCTTGTGGCAGCTGCTCGTCGTGAACGCTCAGACAGCATCAAGTCTGGCACGGCCAAAGACGGTGGCCCCGTGGAACGGCTGCGGGCAGAGCACAGTGGGAGCGCCCCGCAGAACGGTGAAAATATCCCCTTTGCTGAGGAGGGCAGCCTGACTATCAAGCAGCGTCCCCGACAGATGAGCCTCACCAAGGCTGAAGGCGGGGAAGGCTTGGGCCATCGGCACAGCGACCTTTCCAGAGTGGAGGCCAGCGCCACTCTCAAGCGGAGGATCCGGGCAAAGCAGTGTCAACAGGACAATGTGAAGTTCATCCTCACGGAATCAGACACTGTGAAGAGGCGGCCAAAGTCGAAAGACAAGGAGCAGGAGCTGGCCCAGCTCTCAGTGTATCACAATGGCATGGGCACAGTCAAGCGCCGGCCGACCTCTGAGATGAGCAGCCAGGAGGCTGTGGCCCCCACAGAGCAGCAAGAGAGAGTGGGAGGGGCCTCAGTTCAGATCCCCCGTGAAGAAACCAAGAAGCCCATCAAGCCTCCTGTCTCTCCCAAGCCCATCTTGCCACCCAAAACCACGGGGCCTTCCACGCCAACCACTAAAAGGGCTCCGATTCCTGGTCCTGGAAGCCCAGGTAAAGCCTCTTCCTGGGGAATCCACACAGCATGGTTTTTTGTGGGGGGCTTCACAGTTGCTTCTCTGTGTTCCGAGGCTGCCAAGGGGCTTCCTTATCCATGTACATATCTAGGCACCAATAAACTGCCCACAAAGAAATGTTGGGCAACACATGGGAGAGTGTGTATGTATGGGTGGAGTACTCTGGGAATCAGACTGGAGAGTGGAGTTGTGTGCCTGAAACTGCAAGCTTGTGTGCTAATATTTCCTAGTTGCTGAATGGAAGGGGGGCATCCTTTTTATCATCTTTAATATCCATTGAATCCAGTTCTAGTAACAGCTGAACTGTCTTCCTAATGATAGACGATGTTAGATGCAGCCTTGCCAAGTAGAAACTCCATGTTACGGCCACTTCCTGTAACAGAGGCATGGCGTGTCCTGTTTGTCTCTTGCAGAGGTGAAACGTGTCCATGGGACTGCGCCACCCACATCTCCAAAGCCTATGCCACCCCCAACTGCTCCGAAGCCGAAGGTCCACCCCGTCCTCCAGTCAGTGAGTGCCAGCTGCACACCAGCACCTTCACCGGCCAAGCAGCTGACCCCCACCATCAAGCCTTCAAGCACACCTCCTTCCCTCTGCTCCAGCCCAGCTAAGCCTTTGTCCCCTGGAGGGCAGCCTCCTCAGACAGTGCCAGTCAAGCCACCTCGCTCCTCCATGGCTGGGCCCTCAGTGGAGAGCACCGAGAGCGTGCATCAGAAACTGGAGGAGACCAGCGCTTCTCTGGCTGCTGCTCTGCAAGCTGTGGAGGAGAAGATCAAGCAAGAGGATGGACAAGCAGCAGAGTAAGGCACTCCTGAGGATGGGAAGGGGTGGGGAAGGACCCTAGAGATGATTGAGGAGCCAGAAGGCCTGCAAAATGTCCAGCAGACCAGAGAGGCTGGGTGAAACAGCCACTGTTGGTTTTTCACCACAAGGAAGTGCAGCCATCTGCTGTCTTCTATGGCTTGTGCCCACTCGGGAACAAAAGTGTTTAGTAAAAAGGTGAAGGAGAGCAGAACAGGAGAAAGGCAGGGCGAGAGTACTGCTGTTATACATGCTCAGGTTTAACTAACCAAAGGACGGAGGTATTAGGAAGCTGTATTAAAGGCAAGGGTTTTGTAGACGGAGTATCAAACTCGATTTCATTGAGAGTTGCATCAAGGTTGTGTTTGACCTCGGGGGGGGGGGGGGGGGGGGGGGGTGTGGCCAGGCCATGGACAGCATGATGTCACTTGTGTTGGCGGTGCCTGTGTTCTGAGTGCTCTGCCAGCGAAAATGGGCTCCTCGGCTGTGTTTTTGGCCGCAATGGCCTCCTGCAGCCCTCTGCCAGTGAAAACGGAGCTTGGGGGGTGGGCTGTGTTTCTGTTTTCACTGGCAGAGGGCTGCAAGAGGCCACCGTGACCAAAAATGGAGCCTGGAACGGCTGTGCACGTCCCTCCCGAGCTCCGTTTTTGCTGGCAGAGGCACCACTGGCCGAACTTTCGCTGTTTCCAGTGAGGACCTACAGGCCAGATCTAAGCACCCCGCAGGCCAAATTTGGCTCACAGGCCTTGAGTTTGACACCCCTGTTGTAGAGGAATTGGGATCGGCTTAACCTCTCTGATGTCTCTCGCCTTCAGTTCCACTGCAGAATCCAAGAGTACCGTCAGCATCCTGGACGACATCGGCAGCATGTTTGATGATCTTGCTGACCAGCTAGATGCCATGTTGGAATGAGAGCTGGAGAACAGTCCAGGCCAACCTCAGGATCTGCCATGGGCACAAGGGCACAATCACCTCCATGAAGATCTTCCCTCCTCCATTTTTTGAGGTTTGCACAAAGAAGACAAGGTTACCTCAGGATTGTGTTGAAACAAACTGAGATGCTTGAGAAAGGGTTTCCTCGGAACCTGTTTTGCAAAGTGAAGAGAGGAACCACATTTGGGTTTCTTCTCCCATCCCTTCCAAACACCCGTTTGACCTTAGAGATCATCACAGCATGACTGCAGTTCTCCTCCTGCAGCGGAGTCGGAGGTCAGGGCGGCCTGGGATGGGCAGAGCTTCCATGGCAATGGGAGAAAGTGAGCTTCACACTTTCTTCAGCACAGCTTTCCAGGCGAAGCTACTCCGTCCACTCCAGAGTGGCTTTCCCCCTCATATATAATACGTACGAATTCCTTCCCCCTCTCTTCTCCGGATCAGTCCTGAGTTGTTACTGTCCCAATACACTATCAAAGTATGTGGCACAAAATAAGTATTAAGTCTTCTCTGGTTCTTCATGTTTTCCGTTTGGGGTGAAATCTCGTCTTAGCAATGACTATTGCCTTCTGTGTTGGGTGTTTCTGGACTGCACACCGCATTTCCTTCTATGCCCAGCTCATGCGCCCATCTGCCACCGCTGGAGATGCTGGTAGAGGCAGCCATGGAAGGGAACCTGAGGGAACCTGTGAGTCGGGGTAGGGGTGGGGTGGGGGAACCTTCAGCAAGCTGCATGCTTCGTTTCTTTGTCCTGAAGGTGTTTGTCTTCTCCTGGTGATGATGAAGCTGTGACTGTAAGAAGTTTCGTTTTGTTAACACGTTCCCCTTTGAGATACAAGCTCTTTTTTCTGTTGGTTTGCCTTGGAAAGCATCATTCCGGGCAAAAGCTGTGCAAAAAGCTTTGGTATGTTTGCATGATCGATAAAAGTGTTGAAATACGAAAAGAAAAAAAAAACTTGGGTGGGGGTGGGTGGGGCAAAAGCATCCTGGCCAAAATCTCCTTGTACATAAGCTCACTGATGGCTTCTGCAGCTGCCAAAGAGAGATGGCAAATCTCTCTCTCTCTCTCTCTCTCTCTCTCTCTCTTTATTTTTTTTTTAAAACCCCTCTCTTGAGGCAGTTCTGAGCACAGGGACTTGTCCTGCACTTTCTATTGCTCTAAGGCACTTCTGTCCCAAAGAGTCCGTCACCGGTTGAACCGTTTAGCCTTCTTAACCTGCCACAACCGTTGGGAGCAAGGCTGGGAGAAGACATCATTGACCAGGCAGTTGACAGACAAGGAACAATAAACCATCTCCATGTTCTGGAAACCAAGGGCGATGGTGGTTCTGTATTCCTGTGGAGGTTTAATGGAAGAGAGGCCTCCTCTCTTGGGTATTACACCCGCGGTTTCGGAAGAGGCAATCAAAGGAGGCTCAGCCAAGACTGAGTGGATTGCAGCCCTTGGCTAGAACATGCCTTGTGCTCCTGACTCACGGCTGACCCTTGAGCCGTAGGTCTTGTCCTGATCGGTCCTGGTACCCGCGAGGGATCTTCTGGCAATCAGTTAGGAAAGGGCTTCCTTGAGAGGAGGGATCCTGCCGAGTGCAGCACTGCTCTTTCTTTCCAGAAAGGGGCATCTTCCAAGAGGATCACAATTTTTGCATACCCGAGGGTTGCTAGTCTGAAATTCTACAATGTATGCCAAAGTTTATTCTTAAGAGCCTTCTCCATCTTCCAGGTATGTTGGGCAGAATTGCTGTTTTCGTTACTCCCCAGGCAGTGTAAGCACCACCACTTGGTATTGTGGCCAATTCATTTTCTATTTTCATTCCACCAGCTTGAGGCTTCTTAGAGTGAGTAAACACCCTGGGGGTGGGAGGAACAAAATGTCCTGCCAATTCAGAACTGTCTGCTGTCCTCAGGTTTCCTTTGGTTTATTCCACTTGCAAATTGGAAGGATCTTGATAGGGAAATAGGGAAGACCCTCGGATGCAAGAGGAATGCTTGAATGTTGCAGTTGGGGAAGGACACTGTCTGGCTCCTACTTCGGATGGATGAGCTTCTCGGGATCTCCTGGCATCTTCAAGTTGCATAGGAAGGCTTGGATCGCCCTCTGGCCATGTTCTCAGTGAGATGCTCCACATCAGCTTCACTTGGTCTTCCTTCTTGTGGAATTTATAAAACACCCTGGAGGTTTTTTGTTGTTGCATTGCAATGGCAAGAAACAGCATTTTACAAGGAAAGGTAGATCATTTTACTTGAACCATTTACCGGGTTCCCTAACCTTGTGCCCACAGGAGCACTCTGTTTTTTTTAAGGCTTTGGGGCAAGTGTCCAAGACACACTGTCCTTTGTCCAAGGCCAGTGGGAGCGTTCTTAAACCTCTGACTGCTGTTTCCAAATGACTCCTTTGCCTACAAATCTCCATCAAAGGAAATTCCCCTAAGTACTCAGAAGGAATTTTGCCAGTGCCTACTTATTTTCGACTCTTAGAATGCGTTTCCTAATCTCTAGCCTAAACTGGCTTTTAAATGTTTTCAGCTGGTTATATTTCTCTCCCTCATGCCTGTTTTTGTACTTCAGAATAACTGTGGCCATATTTCATAAGTCATGCTTCTGAGACCAGAATCACCTGAATCATCTTCCTTTCCCACAGAGGAGAGTACCGAGGTGCTAGCTCGCTTAAGGCTCTTTTCCCCGAACTTTCTATCTTCCGGGAATGGAGAACTTACAGAGCGACCATCTCCAGCTGGGAATCAACGGAGGTTCTTTGGGAGATCAGAGGGAAGAGAAGGCTGGGAAAGTACCTCTTCGCACTGCTGCCGTTTGATTTGTAGGGCATCTGTTTTGATCGTGGGATGGAGCCCTCACCCTTCATCTCTCCTTCCTCTTATCCGGTGTAGCTCTTAGCTCTGCCTTGCTGCTGGGTTCTTGGTTTCCTGTCCATTTCACTCCGCCGTGTTTTGGTTTTTGCTTTATCAAATCCCCTGGCAATAAAGGAAAACAAACAAGAGCTACCATTTTCAGGGAGATCTTGGGAGCTTTGTCTTGCAGGCTCTTCTCAGACAACATGGCGAGGGCCTGGGGTTCTTGAGCAGGCGGCATCTCACGTTCTTATGGCTGTTTTCAGCCAAACTGAAAAATATCAGCGATAGGAACAAAACTTAGGTGTGGGGCTACCGCAACGCTCTCGTCTCTTAGAATATCCGTTCCATCTTCTTGACTGGCAGCCCAACCTCCAACATGGGACCCGTTCTTCACTGATGTGATCACGACATGCTGGGTTCCTTCCTCTTTGTCTCTCCACTCAGCAAAGGCACCCAGAACAAAGCAGCCAAAAGAAACGGGGGAAATCTCCCTTCGGCTTGCTAGACTTCCCACCCATGGATTTCAATCCGTCTTGGCTTGGAGTAAGATCTCAGGAGAACTCTTCGTCATCTTCTGGTAGAGCTACCTTTTTGAGAGACGTCACGGAGCTCTTTTCACTTTAAAAGAGTAGTGTTGAGTTGTGGTGCTGTTTCTTTTATTAGTTCACTGGTAGCGCTCTCCTCTCGAGACAGCCGTGTTAGGAAAAGTTCTTACGTGTGCGGAGACTCACACAGCTTTTCCTTTGGAAGGGGATGAAAGGGATGAAGAAAAAAAAAATATAAGCTATATAAAAAAAAGTATTTATTGGAAGAAAAAACTATTTAAGTGGAGCTTCCCCCAGAGATAAATAACAAAAGAAGGAAAGGAATTTAATATATATATATAAAAAAGATTTTAAAATATTATCAATTGTATATTGAACAGTTTTAAAATATAAGATTGAAAGAACTGGAGTTTAGCTTGACTATTAGACTTATAATAAGCTGTTTGTCTTGTGAGGTCATTTTAAAAAAAGTAGCACAATGTTTAAAAAGGTAGTTTATCTTTTTCTTTTTTTTTCCAAAGCGTGCAAAACATTATGTTATATGGAATTTTTTTGCCATTTTCTTTTTACAGTTTTATTGAAAATCAAAGGATGTGCCTTGTTTTAAGAAGTTTTGTTTAATCTTACCTGAAAAATGTGCATTCTTTTGTGTCTTTTTTTAAGTTGGATGTACGTTTATATGCGCCTGTGTATGTATGTATGCGAGTGTGTTGAAGTGCACGCGTGCGGAAATCACTTAACATATGCCCTGCTGTATAATAACATACAAATGGGGGGTCAAGTCCAGTTTAAACATGGCTATTAAGTCTGAAACACCCTATCTGGTTTCCTTGAGCTGTGGTTTTTGAGAGCTAGAATTGCTGTGTGAATGTTGTTCCTGTTTTTTTTTCTTGAATATGGATAGTCTTTGCTGATATCCAAAATGTGTCTGGCACAACTTTGAAATTTCTTAATTAAAAATAAAAAGGCAACATAACAATAGCTGTTGTAAAGAGAAACAAAATGTATAAGAAACTATTCCAAGATTCTAATGCTGGATATATACATACTATATATATAATATATATATATATACATTATATTTTTATTATTAAGTTACGGATACTGTATTGTATTCCCCTTTTGTCAAAGCTATGCATTTTCTGCTTCTAACCTTTTCTTGCTGCACACATTCCACCAGTATTACTTCTATTAATAGCTTTGTGATGGTGTAATTTTTTTTGCTGCTTCTTTTTTAAAAAGAAGCTATCTGGCTATCAATATTTAAAGACAAAAACAGGGAAGAAGGCCCTGCTCGTCTCTAATACAGATACATGACATTTGCTGTTAAAGAATACTTTTATTGTTGAGGTCAGAAAGAAAAAAATCCCACCTCGGAGGCACTAACTTTGGGGGGGGGAGGGGGGGCGTGGGGTCTGGCTGCTTTGGTGCAGAGGGAGTGACGGGCTCGGGCTGCAGCTCAGTCCAGGCCAGCAGCCGTGTGGATGCATTTATGACCATCGGTGCTTAATAAAACGTCCAGATTATCTTGGCCCGCTCAACTCGTGTTTTGGCTCCAGCTGGAGGGGAGGAAAAGCTTCCGCTGTGTGATGGGAAAGGGCTGCTGGGGCCCAGCTGGAGCCACGGTGGAAGCTGCACATCTTCAGGGAACCAAAACGTGCGACAAAATCCGTGAAGTCGACTCTTCTACATCTCCCACTTGTTACATCGTACTGAACAAGGGTATTTGCACAGAGAAAAACATAAAACAAAAACAAACCGCTTCCAATTATTTGTGTCACTACAAATCCCCTACCGTAATTCAGAGTTTTTGGGGTTTTTTGGCAATGCAGTGGCGACCCAATGCAGCTAAGGGAGGCCTTTCCTCCCTGCCAAAGAAAGTGGTCAGTGCCCAGCTTGCGGGCAGTTGTTGCCCTGTCGTTGTCCCCTCGATTCCTACCTCTAAACATTGTCTCAGCATTTCTGAAGTTGGATGCAAAGACAATTTGAGCTTCGTGATTAAAAGGGCAACTTAAGAAGCAGCATTCTGGGAAATAAGAATGCCACACATGATCCATTAGACCTAAGAAACTGAACAGGTAGGTCACAGGTGGCAGTTTAGCTGGCCACAGGTGATGCCACGTAAGCCCCCAGCAGTGCATTCAGCCTTTTGGGTGCTGCAAGAAGCCCCATGCACTAGGTGCAAATAGCTTTGCAGGTCATGGGATTGTTCTATTTACCGACTAATGGCAACCCAGGACGTGCTCATCACAGATCAGCCAGGGAGTTTTGAATGGGTACCCCTCAAGATCCATGGAAGTCAGCCTTGAATTTTTGGGGGGGTGGGGGAAGGCAGGGTTCATTGGCTGAAATGCTTCAGGTTTGTCAATGAGTCGTGCTGGCCTAAAACAATGGTCCAATTTTATTGGTAAGGAAGAAATAATCCAAATCTATATCACAATTTTAAAAACAGTAGAAAATGTCCGTAAAAACACAACCGTCGGCTCTCCCGCCTTGCCCAGGGAGGCCATGATGATGGGATGCTCTGAAGAAGGGGAGGGAGGGGGGAGGGAGGTTTAGGATACCTGATAAGAAGGGCTGGACTGGGGACACAGAAATCGTACCGGGTTTACATGACAGGACAATGGGTTTTATCCCCGGCTGTGGCCACAAATGAAGGAGCATAGCAAATAATTTAAATATACCAGGACAGAGATTGAGGCGACTGTGGCTGCTCATGCAGACCGATCCAAGCCAGCTTTGTAGAAAATCTGCTCTTGGAGATGATCTACTGACGAGGAGGAGTAAAGACTTCGTTGCAGGAGTAAAGAACCGCTTGCAGCTGGGCCGGTGTCAGGGAGAGCCAGGCCAGGAACTGCAGCTGGAGTGGTGCATTGGGTAAGGAGTGTGTGTGTGTGTGTGTGTGTGTGTGTGTGTGTGTCTTCCTCCCTGGGAAGGCGCTGCTGCAGAAGGGAGAGTGCGCTGAGGTATGTGGCCCAAAGCTCTTGCACAGCTGGCTGGGGAGGGGAAGGCCCACCGAGAAGGAACACAGCACATCTGGAGGGCGTTTGGAGTGTAGGGAAGTGAGCCAGCATGTATTTGGCAGCATGGTGTCCGAAATGGGTCCTAGCAGGTCCAAACCTGTTGGGGAGAGAAATGTCAGCAGGACCCAAACTCCCATCATTGAGCAGAGCAGTGTTTCGAAACCTGAGCTACTTTTAAGACCTGAGCCACTTTAAGATGCCTGGACTTCAACTCCCAGAAGTCCAAGCGTCTTAAAATTGCCAAGGTTGAAAAAACACAAGTAGAACATAGAGGCGACCAGTGGTGGGTTTCAATTTTTTTTTCCTCCTGGTCCAGAGAGCTCGCTTCGCACGTATGCGCAGGGCTCAAATAAGAAAGCGTGCAGGTGGGCGGGCGGGGCCAGCCAGAGGTGGTATTAGCCGCCTCTCTGAACCAGTCAAAATGTTCGCTACCGGTCCCCCAGAACTGGACCGAACCGGCTGATTACCACCTCTGCAGGCAACTCTCATTTGACATGACCTGATCCAGCCCAGGTCCTGAGCACCAGGTCTGCCTACCAGCTGCCAATCCTTATCCAAGGATCTTTGGGGTTCTGCTAATGGCTTCTTTCTGTCAATAGCAATAGCCCTTAGACTTATCCACCGCTTCACAGGGCTTTTACAGCCCCCTCTAAGTGGTTTACAGAATCAGCCTCTTGCCCCCTCAACAACCTGGGTCCTTATTTGACCCTCCTCGGAAGGACGGAAGGCTGAGTCAACCGGGAGCCTGGTGGGATTCAAACTGCCAAATTGCAGGCAGCCGGCAGGCAGCAGAAGTAGCTTGCAGTACTCTGTGCCATTGTGCCACAGAGGCCTCCCTGCTCAACATTAAAACATCTGTGTGTGTATGTAACTCGTGGCAGGGGGGAAGCAAATCTCATGTAAACTCCTGTTTGTGAGCGGGTCCCCTTCCCAAAAGGAGGAGAGCGCCAGAAAAGCCACGTGTGGTACGGAAGTCAGCTACGCTCCTTACCGTGTCTTAGATCGTGATGGGTGACTGGGTCCCTGCCTAAGCACATCTTGGCGTGCAGAAGTCCCCCGGAAGGCACGAGACTTGGGACTCAGTCACATTTTGCCCCAAACTAAAAGGAGTGCTTCTTAAAGAGGTGATGAGCCCACTCTATGGCTTCCTCCTCCTCCTCCTCCTCGTGTAGCATAAACACATCTAACCAGGGCTGCTGAGGTGGAGCTCCCAGGTGTCACCTGCAGGGTGGGCTTCAAAATTTTTAGCCCAGTTGCTAGGTGGGCGTGGCCATGGTGGGTGTGGCCTTGTCGGTCTCTGGGGGCGGGGTGGCGTATTTGCCCTCCCCGAGCTCCTGAGGCTTTCCTCGAGCCTTCGGGAGGGCAAAACGGCCTCCCCTGGCTCCAAAGGTTCTCTGGAAGCCCCCCGAAAAGGACCCATTTCCAACCTTCTCAAACTTCCGGGAGGCCCGTTTTTCACCCTTCTTGAGCCTCTGCACGTGCCCTGCACTTACCTGCATCCGAAACAGGCCACGTGGCGACTCCTGGGAGGGGAGGGGCAGGGTACACGGGGCCAGTCAGGGGTGGGATTTGGGAGGTTCTCCAAACTGCACAGAATCGTAGCTAGGGGCTCTCCCACCCACCACCCACCCCAAACCCCCAGCAACCCTTCCCTGGTCACCTGGAAAGGAAGCTAGCTCTCCCTGGTGCTTCCAGGAAAACAAGTGACTGCGCTGGGTGCTGGGACAACCCAGCCGGAGGAAACTAGGAAGCCACCTGCGAAAACGGCTCTGAGACAACTGGAAATTTGATTAACAGAGTTGGAAGGGGGCTTGTAGGTCATCTAGTCCAACCCCCACCCCCCACCCCCAAGCAGGAGACCCTACACCATTTCTGACAGAGGGCAATCCAGTCTCTTCTTGAAAGCCTCCAGGGATGAAGCTCCCACAACCTCCGAGGGCAACTTCTGCTCCATGGGTTGATTGCTCTCAATGTCAGAAAGTTTCTCCTTATTTCCAGGTTGAATCTCTCCTCCTTGTTCAGTTTCCATCCATTATTCCTTGTCTGGCCTTCAGGTGCCTTGGAGAATAGCTTGACCCCCTCCTCACTCTGGGGCAGCCCCTCAAATATTGGAAGACTGCTACCCTGTCTCCCCTGGTCCTCCTCTTCACTAGAGGGGGCCCTCTTCCTCTTGCTGAGAGCTCCCCCCCACCCCAGGACATACCTTGACGGTGCTGTCAACCGCCCCGGAGAACAAGCGGCCCCTTGAGACGGCCAGGGCTGTGACGCTGCCCTGGTGGCGCAGGAGTGTCTGGGTGCAGATCATGTTGTCCATACTCCATACCTGGAGGCAGAGAACAAGCCAAGACAGTGACGGTGGATCACCATAGCGGACTGTTTGTGGCCTGGATTTAGGCAGACAATGGTGTTGAGCCGTGGATCCCATTCTCTGCCTAAATCCAGGCCATACACAAACTCTGCACCTCCACATTTCGTGTGGGGTTAGGATGTGCATCAAATACAGCTGAAGGACCTCCAAAACTCACCCCTCCCTCAACTGGGGCATTTGGACAAAGGCCGTTAACATTCTGCAACTGCATAAGGCATTACAGGTAAGGAGAGGTGCCATGGGAGTGGCACAGAGGTGAAGACACTCGCCTCCCACTCAGAAAGTTAAGAGTTCAATCCTAGGTAGCAGCAGGTGTTTATCAGGGCAGAAAGAGAAAATATTGGCTGTGAACTCTGTGTGGAGTCAGGAAGGGCTTCTGGCCAGTAAATATGCTCAGTTCTATTCTGTTGCCTCGACCGCAGCCCAAAATGAGGGATTACAGGGTTGTAAAAAGGAAAAAAGGAGGAGGAGGAGGCGCCATGGCCTCCACTGCCCTTTCCCTCTCTTAGGTTTGGGAACAAAGAGATACTCAGGTTGGACTTCTGTCCCTCAGAACAATCCTCTTGCTGTGGGAGGGCCCTCCACGATCCCGAAAATTTCTTACAAAATTGTACTTAGAAATAAGTTATAAGGGGAAACCACTAGGATACAAGGGGGGTGGAGAATAATCATACTGTACACACAACGTAACATACAAATAATTGAAATCAAATCAAATCCATTTTAGTTCTTTTTCTGCTTGCCTCTACATTGTTATTTTCTTTTAAATTGTTTGGGCCTGGCCTAACTTTGGAGAAATTGATTCCAACAGGACAGTACCCGGAAAGAGCTCCCCCTGTTCTCCTGCGGTGCAATTCATTCCGAAGGTTTTGGAGAAATGAGATTAATAACACACACACACACACACACACACACACGAACTCCCTCAAGCAGCAGAGGGTGCTGTTGGTAGAGCCAGGCTGCTGAAGAGACCTGGGGCTGGGATTCAGGGATCTGGAGCCCAGCTGCCTGCTTGCTAAGAGAGTTCAACTTCATCAAATTACAATAGACACTGAAAGATTTAGAATAGAATAACAGAGTTGGAAGGGACCTTGGAGGTCTTCTAGTCCAGCCCCCCTGCCTAGGAGGAAATCCTACACCACTTCAGACAAATGGTTACCCAACATCTTTTTAAAAACTTCCAGTGCTGGAGCATTCACAACTGCTGGAAGCAATTCATTTCACTGATCAATGGTTCTCACTATCAGGAAACTCCTCCTGAGTTCCAGGTTGCTTCTCTCCTTGATCAGTTTCCACCCATTGTTTCTTGTTCTGCCCTCTGGTGCTTTGGAGAATAGCTTGACTCCCTTTCCTTTGGGGCAGCCCCTGAGATATCTGAACACCGCTATCATGTCTCCCCTAGTCCTTCTCTTCCCTAGACTAGCCATGCCCAGTTCCAGCCACCAGTCTTTTTATGCTTTAGCCTCCGGTCCCCGAATCATCTTTGTTGCTCTTCTCTGCATTCTTTCCAGGGCCTCAACTTATTTTTTACATCGTGGCGACCAAAGCTGAATACAGTATTCCAAAATGTGGCCTTACCAAGGCCTTATAAAGTCATATTAACACTTCGCGTGATTTTGATGCTATCCCTGTTCATGCAGCCTAGAACCGTGTTGGCTTTTTTGGCAGCTGCTGCACATGGCTGGCTCGTATTTCAATGGAGGTCCACTAGGACTCCGAGGCCCCACCCTGTTAATCTATAATCTAATCTAATCCCTCTCACAGTCACTACGATTGAGCAAGGTACCACATATGTTGTACCTGTGCATTTGATTTTTCTTGCCTCAGTGTAGAACCTTCCTTTCTTCCCCCTTGAATTTCATTTTTTATTTTCATCGGTTAGGATGTCTCCCACTGCCAGTTCTCCTTTTTTCCCATGGTCTTCCTCTGGGCCCCTCGCCCTGAACCAGGGGTGGGATTCAATTTTTTTAACAACCAGTTCTGTGGGCGTGGCTTGGGGGGTCATGTGACTGGGTGGGCGTGGCTTGGTCATGTTATTGGCTGAGCGTGGCCAACTCAATACCACTCACATCGAGGCACGAATCTCCTCGCCTGGCCTCTCATGACTGTGAGGATGCTGCAATAGTCGTAAGTGTGAAAAATGGTCCTAAGTCACTTTCTTCAGTGCCATTATAACTTTGAAGGGTCACTCCACACAAGCAAAGTACCAGCAAAGGAGGAAAAAAAAACCTCCAGAGAAGTTCCAGAGACAGGAAGTCTAGTCCTGCCAAGAATGTAATTAACAGAGAGGCAGTTTCTGTAAGCAACCCCAGAATGTTTCCTTCCTGCCTTCCTTACAGGATTAGGCCAGTAATTTCCTCTAACAACCGCTTCTCCAAACTGCTTGAAATGTTAACAACCGGTTCTAGCAAATAGGTGCAAACTGGTAGAATCCCACCCCTCGCCCTGAACCAACCACTTGCTGAGCCCCCCACGTACCCGCAATGACCGATCATACGAGGCGCTGAAGACTTTGGTTTGGTCCGGCGTAGAGATGACTGCCAGAGCGTACACGGTGCCCACGTGTCCTGTGAGCGTGCGAACCTGCTCTTTCGACTCGATATCCCACACCTGGTTCAAAAGGGACCAACAGCCGAGTATTACCTTCCCATTGCTTCCCCCTTTTGATTCCGGTGGCTCTAGCCATCCGGTCTGCTTGCCAGATCCCAGAAAGAGAGGACTGGAGGGTCTGGGGAAGGGCTGAAGGTGGCCCCACTGACCCCTTCTTCCTGGGCTTTGGCCATCCTTACGTGAATGAGATTTTCGTAAGTGCCACAGACGATGTGATGGTTGGTGACCGCGATGGAGTAGACGCTGCCTCCAGATGTCTGCAGGACGTGTACACATTCCAGGTTCCGGATGTCCCAGATCTGGAGCAGAGGAGAGAAAAGGGATGGAATCTTCTTCCTGTTGTGGTTAGCCGGCAGCAGGTACGGACGGCTGAGGAGAGCGAGGACTCAGATGAGGGGCCAGGACCACTAGGGAGTGGATTGTTGCCTTCAGAGATTGTGGGGACTGGCAACAGCGATGAGGAGGTTCCCGAAGAGCCTGTGCCAAGTGCACATGCACGAAGGATTGCTCGCAGGAAAGAGCAGCTGCAGCAGCACGAGCGACTCGGGAGTAAGGCTGCAAGGTAATGGCCCCTCCTTCAAGAAGATAAAAGCCAGCTGTGAAACAAATCTTCTTTGCAGAAGGCAAAGACGTTTTGAAACTCCAGCCTCGTGGACATTACAGTATCTTAAATTGGTATTTGAAGACTCTTCTGTTGTGATATATTTCTTATCTGTGGTTCTTGGCAGCCTCGCACAGTTTTGGTGAGGCTTGTGCTTATCAAAGTTAATTAGTTTGCAGCAGCCTTTTAACCGGGGATTTGTAAGAATCATTAAAAGGTTTCTGTTCCCTTTGGTTCGTGTTTGTTTTATTGGAAAAGGGTTTGGGTCAGAACACTTCCCAGGCTGCAAAGAGCAAGTGGAGCATCTGAGAGCCACACCTACCTTAATGGTTTGGTAGGAGCCACTGTACAGGTGATTCTGGGATGCCACAAGTGCCCGGACCCAGTGGTTAAGGCCGGTCAGCTCCTTCTTCAGTTTCAGCTCAGTGCCAACAATGTCCCAGACCTGATGGGTGGAAGGAGAGCCAGAATCAGGCCTTCAACAGCGATGTACAAAAACACTAGTATACTAGACTAGTATAAAATAGTAAAAATGCGGTAAGAATTAAAAATGTTAAGATGGGGAATGTTAGAATTTGGTATATGATATCGATTAGTAGGATGTAAGAATAGAATATTAAAAGGAAAACAATGAATAAGTATAAACTGCAATGGTTATTGCATGAGAGAGATGACACACTCTGTTCAAATGAAAGATGGAATGTTTGTATAAATAAAATTTTAAAAATACAAATAAAACATCTTTTTTGAAAGTAGCGTAATCCCGGGTTACATTTCTTCGTACAGACACAAATTCAATTTCATGCTCATTTTTATGTTCTATTCCATATCTTATTACTGTTTTACATTTTCTACATAGCTTCTCCCCTCTTTTAATTTTCTCAATTTTATTTTAATTATCTCATCTCAATTCAAATCATTATATTTGTATCTTTTGTCTGTCCTGTTTTAATTTCATTATTATCTTTTCTCATTAAACAAAGTTTCTCCTGTAGTTGCTGATTGGAGTATGACACCTTTATATCTTTTAAGTTTATCCATTTAACTCTTATTTAGGCTTCAATATATACCTTAAAGTTTTAACATTCAATATAATACATAACTTCCATTCGGATTCTGCTTGGTACATTCTTAAAATACATACTATATTCTTTTTAAAAAAAGATTATAAATATATGTAATTAAAACAACACATTCAATTCCAATTCAATTCTATCATTAATGTTAACATTCATTAACATCTTAACTTCTTTAATATTATTTTTCAATTGAATATCATACTTCAATGGGAACAGCTATAAGCTTACCATGATTAATTCCCCCACCTCTTCACTTATATTTTATAAAGCATTAATTAATTAAAATGTTCCTGTCCCTTCCTAATTCAATTTTCTCATTTATTTTATTTCATTTATTTTATTAACAAACATTTCACTAAATTACACTAACTATTTTATCCCTCATTTTAATCATACATTGTTTCCAATTTTCTAAAGTTATTTCTATTACTAATATAACAATACAATCTTATGTACCTTTACAGAATCCCTTTTTCAGTTAGATTTTCACCCATTATCTCTAAATAGGTCCTGTTTCTCTATATCTTGTTCCGGTCCTTTGTAACTTCTTTTCCTTTCCTTCTTCCCTCTCTTCTTCTCTCTCCCCTTTTTACCCCCATGTCTCTCTACTTCTATTTCTCTCTTCTATATTCCCCTCTTCTGTTGCTTTCCAGTATTATACTTATTTTTTGAATTATTTTTCTTTGTTATTGTTTTTTTAAGTCTTAAATTCTCCATTCTCTTTCCGCCCTTTCCTTTTTCTTCCTCACATAGAATTACTTGTTCATTAAAGATGGCTTCTTCTTTGTCCCAGTCTTCTTGTTTTGCAGACGTTTCTTGTTGTTTCTCATAGTTCCAAATCTCCATTTCTAAGAGTTGAAAAATGAAGCCAAAAGAACCCTTCCCTTCTTGTGCATCTTCTTTGTACTTTTTAAGTTCCATTTTCAGTTCATCCAGAAGTAGTGCCATTGTATAAATTTTTAAACAACCACCCAATTAATTTTAGTCATTCAAATGCAATAACCAAGAATCCAAAAATCACCAAGTAATCCAAATATATACAGGCTGTTTCTTTTTGCTCTTTTTTTTCACTTTCTCTTCCTGGGGTTCTACTGCTTAGTTGCAAAGTTTCAGTTAAAATGTATCTTTTAGAAGTCTTGTTGAAGTTTTGCTGTAGATTCCTTTCAATTCCAGGCAGTCTCCTCCCTCTTTCCAGATCCTGTCCATTTATTCTTTTTCTCTCCTTTCCTGCTTATGGAAAAATTTTTGGTGTCCAGAAATCTTTGTTATCCCTTTGACATTTTGTTTTAATTTCAGCTTAATTACCTGTTGATGTCAAAATGGATTTTTCCAATTTCTTATTAAGTCTCTTAGTTGTCAATATAGGGAAAGGGAGAGAAGAAAAAAACCCAAACCTTTCCCTTTTCCCTTTCCTTTGCTGCTTCAGACTCTTCTTTGGGAACAATGTTATTTTTTTGTAAATTTAAATTCCAGGGTACCTTAGTTGCTGCTTTGCAACTTGACCCGGTCAGCCAAAAACTTTCTCTTATCTTCCTCCTGCACATTCTTTTCCGATCGAGTTCTTCTTTGAGGTGGCCATTTCTGACCACCGCTCCAACCGCCTTCGGGAAAGGGAGTAATGGCCAGCTGGGGAGGAGAGATGCGGCTCTCCTCAACCCTGCTGGCAGTCTCCCCCCTCTTCACCACCTCTACGGGGTGGCTTAACCCCGAAACCGGGTGGCTCGGGGCACTCCAGCGGCGAGCCCAGACCGAAACCGCGCACGATCGCGGATTTCTGTCTGTCGCCGAAGAAGATCAAAACCGGAAGAACTACACAGGTATACCTTTCTATCCCACTTTTTCATTAAGCCCTGTGAGTGAGGCTGAGCTAATCATGCCTCAAAACACTGAAGGTCTTTTCTCACAGCTCCTGGAAGAGGAGAATATTTTTTTTTCTTTTAATGACCCTGTAATCTGTTGCATTGGGGTGGAGTCAGGGCAACTGAATGGAGCTGAGCGTTTACTGGCCAGATGCCCTTCCTGACACCTATGCGGAGTTCACAGCAGATATTTTCTCTCTGAACCCAGAGAGAAATATCTATTGCTACCTAGGATCAAACTCATAGCCTCCTGATTGTGAAATGAAAGTTCCACCTCTAGGTCACTATGCCACCCTGGAAGAAAAGGAACATATTAACCTAATAATCATTTTCCTCATCTGGTGCTCTCCAGATGTGCAAGAAGGCAACTTTTGGTGGCCATGATGCCTGGGAATTCCGGACAGCCGGTGAGGAAAAGCTGGACTATTAAGCGGAGATGTTCCTTGCCTCCCAGCTCAATGGGGGAGATCTTTAACCTTGCAACAATCCTGCAATGGGTAATTCTGGACAAGTAGGAGAAGAAATCAATTAATAGGGAACGGGGAAGGGTTCAAAAAGTGAAGAGAATGAAAAATGCAGCAGGTCTGAACAGCAGACAAAGTAGCAGGAAATGCAAGGAAAAGAGAAGAGGAAAAAGCAAGGCCAGCTCTCTAGGATCAGGGAAGATCCTAAATGAGCCCAGAATAATCAGCAGAGAGAAGGGAGCAAATCTAAGTGAACAAACCTCTTAGGCCAAGAAAAGAAAAGATGGAATGGATGGAAAGGACCAAAAAGGGTTTTGTTTTCCCCACTCCTCTGCATCAGAAAACTGTACCTTAATAGCCTTCAGAGAGCCACTGAAAAGCATGTTGTGCGAGGAGACAAGAGTGCACACGGGATTGTCGTGTGCGCGGATGGTGTTGACCTTCTGCAGGGTCTGAATATCCCAAACCTGTCAAAAGTCAAAAAGGATATAGATAAGTGGTATATAGATGGCTTTGTTGCACCTAATGCAAGAAGAGCAGGGGTCTCTGAATTAGGCAACTCTAAGACTTGTGAACTTTCAGTTCTCAGAATTCCACAGCATAGCTGGCTGAGAAATTCTGGGAGTTGAGGTCCTCAAGTCTTAAAATAGTCATCTCCAATAGCTTTGGAGACCCCCCTGCACAAGAGAATTATCAGTGACTTCCTTCTCTTCCCCTTCCTGGAGAAAGCCAAAGCAAGTCCCCCGCCCCCCCTATAATCCCGCCTCCCTAAATCAACCACTTACAATAATGGTGCAATCAGCTGAGCCGCTATACAGTTTGTTCCTGGGCAAAAGAAACAAAAGGAAATCAGAGAGCCAGAAGACGTTCGTTGGCACATTTTTTTCTCTCTCAAGATCATGAAAAAAAGATAGGGATTGTGTAAACTTCCCCCAGAAAAATGCAAACTGCCACTTCCGTTGTAAAACTGAGCTACTGGAAGAGTTTCCATTATTCGATTAATGACACACATTCCAAACCCCTTGAAAAACCAGAACAACAGAGTTGGAAGGTTAAGCAGGAAGCCCTATGCTATTCTAGATACGTGGCTGTCCCGTCTCTTTCTTAAAACCTCCAGTGATGGAGCAGCCACAACTTCTGAAGGCAAGCCGTTCCATTGGCTGATTGTTCTAACTGTCCGGAAATTTCTCCTTGGTTCCAGGTTGCTTCTCTCCTTGATTAGTTTCCACCCATTGCTTCTTGTCCTGCTCTCTGGTGCTTTGGAGCAGGGGTCTCCAACCAGTGGGCCAGGGACCACTGGTGATCCACGAGAAAATTTGGGTGGTCCGCAGAGAAATGTCACTCGCAAAGCAATTAATTCAGGCTGTGCGGGAACACAAGGCTTGCGTCGCTTGCATTGCAAACAACACGAGGTAGTGAGGAGAGGGGAGAAAGGGCGGAGGGGAGGAACTTGCCCCACACACCTGGCCTGGCCACCAAGGTGCTTCTTTCAGCTTCTTTCTTCTTCTGCTTTTGGCTGCATGCAAGGAAAGCAGCAAAAGTCTTTCTTTCTTTCTCTTCCAAACTCTATCAGAAATGAGTCTTTGGGACCCTGCAAGGCCTCCTGCTCCAAGAGGCTGTGCCGGCAAAGATTCATTTCTGGTGGAATTTGGGGGAGAGAAAGAAAGACTTCTGAGGCTTCTGCTGCTTTCCTTGCATGAAGCCAAAAGTCTCTCTCTCTCTCTCCCACCCCCCGAGAACGGAGCTGGAGACGGTATCCTGCGATCCCAAATAAAGAACAATTGATCAGTAGAAAAACAGGGTGGGGAATTTTCCTGCAGACTTTTTTGGGGGGGATTTTCCCAGGGTCTCTGGTCCGTGGGATTTAAAATTTGGAGTTTGGTGGTCCCTGAGGTCCAAAAGGTTGGCGACACCTGCTTTGGAGAATAGCTTGACCTCCTCTTCTTTATGGCAGCCCCTCAAATATTGGAACACTGTTATAATGTTTGGCCCTAGTCCTTCTTTTCATTAAACTAGACATACCTAGTTCCCGCAACTGTTCTTCATATGTTTTAACCTCCAGCCCCGATCCTCTTTGTTGCTCTTCTCTGCACACTTTTCAGAGTCTCAACATGTTTTTTTTATATCGTGACAATGAAAACTGGTTGCAATATTCCAAGCGTGGTCTTACCATCATGAAATGGTACAAACAATTCAAGTGATCTTGATTCTATCCGTTAATGCAACCTAGGGTTGCACTGGATAAAAATGCAAAGCCACACCATCTACACACATGAGTTCAGTTTGAATATAACTTTAAAAAAAAACCAGGTTTTCCTGGCACTCAAATTTAATTCACATTGTCATTTGAAAAATCAGGCATTTCCCCCATTACTGAAAACAAGGCCAGGATTCACACAACGTTTTTTTTTAAAAAAATGAGAAGTGGCTTGTTGAGTTTAAGAAAACAATGAGCAGAACTAAAATCCATCTATCAGTCCTTGAGTTTATATCAAGTGTTTTTTCTCCTTGGCTGCTTGCTGATGCTGATGGGTAGACTTCAACCAGCTGGCTGGAGAATTCTGGGAGTTGAAGTCCACCCATCAGCAAGCGGCCAAGGAAGGGAGACTCTGCTTTATACAGCAGAGCAGCGGAAGGCAATGAGGCTGGTGGCTGACTCACCCCTGGATGCAGAGTGCCAGGACAATCCCATCGTGACCTTCCAGGGTCTTTTGGCACTTGTAAGTGGTACAGGTATCCCACACCTAGTGGGAAAACAAAAGATCACGTAACTGGACTCCAGGGCAACCAGACCCAGGGCAGGAAGTCAGAGCGTGTGCCAGAGCTGGGGAGGCAGGAAGCACCTGGCCTGTCACGTGTCCACCTGCTTTCCTCTCTTTCCGACAAAGAAAGGAAGCAGGTAGGCAGATTTGAGATCTGGGTGCAAAGAAGTGCAGCTCCCAGCAGTTTTCCTGATGGCACAGAGGCCAGGAAGGGAGGCGGCAGTTGTGTCTGGGAGAGCAGCCTCCTACGTTTACCCCTTTCCCTCAAATCTGGAGTGGGCTACGTTCAAATGCCCCCTTCTATGGCCTGTTCTGACCCAGCTCCCCAAACACGGCAGACCCTCTGGAGTTAAATCAACCATTTCTTTATTAGGAGCGCCAGCAAAAAGTTTATCTCTCAATGCAGCCCAACAAGTCTGTCCAGCAGGGAGATGAATAATTGTCTGCCACACCTATTCATCTCCACCCCCTGCCTTTTATCCCCAGAACTAGGGTGGGGGTTCGCTAGCAGTGGTGGCTCTTCCATCCCAAGGACCGGCCCATAGATTTCCACTGCTCTCCTCTCGTCTGCCTTCTACGCATCCACATTTCAGGCACTGGGCGCAGCTGTTCCTCCCCTTCCTCATCAGCCACCTCCAGACCTGGGGGCTGTTGACGGCGAAAAAGAGGCTGAAGGAGTGCCGGGCCTTCTCTTCCAAAGAGAGAGTGAAAAGGTCGAAAGGGACTTGGTGCCTTGTCTAGCATTGTGCCTTCACAACAGACAGCCCTTTTGGGGAATTTCCAAGTCCTCTCTCACTGTCGTGAATACCATCTGCCCCAAAATGAGCTGAGGTGGGTCTTTCAGCCCTAAATTACATCAAGCTCCAAGGTGAGAGGGCAGCAGAGAGTCCATCCATGGAGAATCCCCAAATTGATAAACAAGGGCTCCCTCGTCGTTCGGGTCCCCAATTATGACATACGTCACTAATTCTGAATGAATTATGGATTTTAAAAGCAGGCATTACCTAAAAGCAGTATAGCAATAGCACTTAGACTTATATACCTCTTCACAGTGCTTTACAGCCCCCTCTAAGTGGGTTACAGAGTCAGCCTCTTGCCCCCAACAATCTGGGTCCTCGTTTTACCCACCTCAGAAGGATAGAAGGCCGAGTCAATCTTGAGCCTGGTGAGATGTGAACTGCCAAATTGCAGCAGATGGCAGTCAACACAAGCCTGTAATACAGTACTGCAACCACTGTGCTACCGAGGCTCTGCCGATTTACCTTTCTCAACCAGTGGAGGAAAGGATCGTTTTTACTTAGAAACCCAAGCTGAGACAGGTCTGACTGACACCTGGTTGAGAGCAAGAGGAGGTGCTTTTCCCCAACGCCCCTCGAGCCTGCAGTGCACCCCATGCAAAAATTAAACTAAAAATAAACATCTTGCCTTGATGGTTTTGTCAGAAGAGCCACTGAAGAGCAAGTCACCAATGGAATAGACACAGAGGCACCAGACGGGGCCCTGGTGGCCAACGAAAGTGCCCTTGCACTTGAAAATCTGTTGAGGGTCATAGGCTGCAAAGGAGGACAAAAAGAAGTGTGTTAATGCACAACAGCCCCAATCCCCGAGTCTTGGAAAAGGCATGTCATTTTACAAGCAGCCAAGGCTCAAAGTGGGGGCCTAACTAGACCAGCATCCTTTTCCCAAGAAAGGATGTGGCAAACTTGCAACCCTAACACCAAGGTGCGCAGCCATTAAACAAAGAAATTCTACATATCTCTCAGCACTTATAGTGATGGAGGTAGTCCTTGACTTATGACCATTAATTGAGCCCCCAATTTTTTTTTGCTGTTCAGCAAAACATTTGTTAGGTGGACTTTAGTCCATTTTACAACCTTTCGTGTCACCGTTAAGTGAAACTTGGTTCCCCCGTTGATTATGCTTGTCAAAGATCCCAAAAGGGAATCACGTGGCCATGGGACACTGCAACCATCATAAATATGAACCAGTTGCCAAACACCCAGGGATGGGATTCTACCAGTTTGGACCAGTTCTATAGAACTGGTTGTTACGATTCTGTGCAGTTTGGAGAACCAGCAAATCGCGCCACTGGCTGGCCCCGCCCCTCCTGTCGGATTTCTGCTTTCTAGCTAATCTAGATCGCTGTTGGACTGCTTTGCCTTCGCCCAAGAGGCTTCCCTGAGGTCCAGCCAGGGGTGTTATTCAGGGGGTTGGGGGAGAAGTGGCCTGAGAGTAGAGCCGAACCTTCCTTAGGACTGAAGCTTCTATTTTTCAGTGCAGACTCAGACAGCAGATTGCAGAAAGGTAGATCTGTGAATGAATCTGTGATTCTGCAAGCAACTCAGTCTGCTTTGCCTGATTTTGGGTAAAAGTCGCTCTTTATATATATACATACATACATACATACATACAATATTATATATATGTTTTCTTAAGTTTTCGCGGGTACTTACATGTATGGTATTCAGCTTTGTTCGGGTATTTTCCTACATGACGTATAGTTGTGCTTTTAAAGTTGTAGCAAAGTTTCGGCAGAATCTCATGTGCCATCATCAGGCTTCTGTATTGAGTTCGTCTGTAAGTCAGACTTTTACAGTTGTTTCAATTTTAAATTTGGGGCTAGCCTACTGCTGTGCCAGAATGGTTTTTTCTTCATCCTGATTGGTTGGAAGTCTTGGTCTGTGTTTATTGGTCTTGGAGTTTGCTGTGTTCTGCTTGATTGGTGTTTCTAATATCTTCTGTCTGTTTTGTGGCTTTTTTTGTGTCTTGATTGGCCGGCAACATTGTGTTCCTGTATTGGAGGCTTTTAGTGCAGCCGAGTAAATGTGCCGAGTAAATGGACAGCTATCATTTATTAGGAAGCTAGGTTTCATCTGGGTGCCTGGTTGGGGTGTGTTTGAGCTGGAGGTATCAGGGGGGATTCTGTTTGTGCCCAGGTGTTTGCCTGGCTTGTGGTGTGGAGATTTTTTTGTTTGTGAGTGCAGGCTTCCAAATAATTGACAGTCTGGTGGAATCATCTCTTCTATTCAAGCTTTCAGGTCTTTTTTCAATCTCTGTAGCTTCTCTGATAAATCTGTGGCTGGGGTTTTCTGTAGTGGCTAGGGTTTTGGTGCCATTGAAGTTGATGCTATGACCTGTGGCTTTCATATGTTGGACTAGTGAGGAAGTGTGTTCCAGCTTTTTCACTGCATTTTTGTGTTCATCCAGGCGGGTACTTATTCTTTTATTGGTCTGTCCAATGTATGTGGCAGGGCATGATGCACAGGGGACTTCATATATGCCTTGGTTTTCCAGGTCAATTTTATCTTTGGGGTTTCTAAGGATGGCTGTTATTTTTCTGTCTGTTTTGAAGGCAGTCTTGATGTGATGCCTATGTAGTATCTTACTGATTTTGTCTGTAGTACCTCTTATGTAGGGCAGGACAGCTGTTCCATGGGTCTGTTCATCTTCTAGGTCTCCATTATGTCTCAGTGTGTTTTTGTGGATCAAGCTGGCGATTTTGCTTTTGTGAAAGTACTGACAGCCAACGGCTTTTTTTCTTCATCCTGATTGGTTAGGAGTCTTGGTCTGTCAACCAATCAGGATGAAGAAAAAACCATTCTGGCACAGCAGTAGACTAGTCCCAAATTTAAAACTGAAACGGCTGTGAAAGTCTGACTCACATATGAACACAATACAGAAGCCTGATGATGGCAGATGAGATTCTGCCGAAACGTTGCTACAACATTAAAAGCACAACTATAATGACGTGGGAAAATACCCAAACAAAGCTGAATACCATACATGTAAGTACCCGCAAAAACTTAAGAAAACACGCACACACACACACACATATATATTCAATATTTACATAAATATTTACAATATTTACCTACAAGACATGCCCAGCCAGTCACGTGACTACCAAGCCACGCCAGTCAACAAGCCACACCCACCCAATCGCATGACCATCAAGTCACACCCACAAATTAGGCCAGGCCCACAGAACCAGTTGTTAAGAAATTTGAACCCCACCCCTGCAAGCACCTGAATTTTGATCATGTAACCACAGCGATGCAATGGTTGTTAAGTTGAGGTTCCCAGAGGCAGTGAAAATAGTACTTTAACACAAAATACTTGTGTGAAAAGTGCTTTTTAAGCTGCTTTGAATTTACTGCCAAGCAGTTTCGGCAAGTGATTCATACACACCTCCAGTGAAAGAAAAGGCGATCAGAAACGAAAGTACAATCAACATACCATTAAATAAGAAAAAAAAGTAAATAGTGCACTCGTTAACATTCTTTGAATTAAATCTATTTTGGATGAAGGAAAAAAATTGTAGAACTGGAAAAAAATTGCATAATCAAGTTCCAGCCTCAGATGATCCAATGCAATTATTTGTTTCACTTGCTACATTTCCCAACACAAAGTTGTTCTTACTAAAGAGGGAAAAAAAGCCAAACGTCTAACTAATTCTCATTCTGAAAGCAGAATGTCTCAGTCAGTAATTATAAATTTTACATGATAAAGAAGAAAAGTTTCTCTACCCCCAGAAACCCAGAATGTCCCCTTCTGATCAGGGAGAAAGAAAAGGTAGATACTCACAGCCCAAAATTCCCATGTTTAGCCGGGCATTGATATGAGACAGTTCATCCTGCAGAGAGAAAGAAGGCATGTGATAAAGGCCAAAAGGGGAAAAAATGTGAATTGTGGCACCGAGGCATCACACACACACACACACAAATCAGTGTCCATTTTGAATTCATAGCAAAAAGAGGAAACTTGAGAGTTCACAAGGTTGATGCTATATGGAACAAAATGGTGACTGAACCTGGATGTTCTGCTTTGGAGACCCCAGAGCCCCCTCCCACAAGGTAACAAGGAAAAGAAGTTGTGAAGAGGATGTGTATGTCCTAGGCAATCCTGCAGACTCTGCCGCACTTACATGCCGTGTCCTGGATAGAAGGAAGTGAACTTCCCATAATCTTTTCTGCTGTCCTCACCACTCTCTACACCGCCTTCCTGTCCCGAAGCAGTAATGCTTCCAAACTGGCCATGGGATGGGATGCTCTGATTGTCCCTCTGTAGAAAGTCCCTCTACAGAAAGTGGTTAGGATAGGAGAAGGAAGATGTACAAAATGCAGGCGCTGCTGTGCCCACTATTAAGTGACCAAACTAGCCTACTCATTGGCTCACTAGCCTACCGAGAAACACGAGGCTGCTAACAACCTCCACAGGTGAATCATTAACACATGGAAGTGTGTGGCTGTGCCTGCCTTCTCTGAAATTGACAATGATCTCTTTAGTTTCCCCTATGTTTAAAATAAGGCTGTTTTTGTTACACTAGTTCGCCAAACCCTCTACTTCCTTGCGGTCACCACCCTCATTGTCACCTTGAATAACGCCCACTAGTGTTGTATCATCCACGTACTTCACAATATGGTTGAGGGCAAACCTAGCACAACAGTCACGGGTCAGCAGGGTGAACAACAGTGGACCTGAAGAGAACCTGTGCTTAAGAAAATGGTGTTAGGAGTCCCAACTCGCACATGCTGGGGCCTATCAATGAGAAAATCAAGAATCCAGTTGCACAAAGGAATGGTAAAGCCTAAATGGCCCCGCTTGATTTTCTACGAGATGCTGAGGAATGATTGCTTTAAATGCCAAAGTGAAGTCGACAAACAGGAGGCGGGTTTTGTGAACCCCAAGCCACCCTAACAATGACTGGCAGGGGCTAAGGAGCACTTGGATCTGTTTTGTAAGCCTTGGCTTCTGGAACCATGCTGTGTACCACTGTTTGAACTGTAATTTAGTGAGAAAATGAAGAGCTGCATTCACAGAACAAATGAACTTCCAAAGCGCCAGAAGGGCAGGACAAGAAACAAATGTTGGAAACTGATCAAAGAGAGAAGCAACCTGGAATTAAGAAGAAACTTCCTGACAGTGAGGACAATTAACCAGTGGAACAGCTGGACACCAGAAGTTGGGAATGCACCAACACTGGAGGTTTTTAAGAAGAGACTAGAGAGCCACTTGTCTGAAATGGTATAGGGCTGTGATGACTTGAACCTATGGCATTTGTGCGAGCCCCAACCAAACTTACCTGCATTGCGCATGCGTGCGCCTCCCAGCTGATTTTTGGCCCATTTGAGGCCCTTTTCGGCCTCCTAGAGGCTCGAGGGAAGTCTCTGCAGCTTCAGGAGGCCGAAAAACAGGCCTTCTGGAAATACCAGAATTGCCGAAACGGGTCTGTTTTTTGGCCTCCAAAGGCTGTAGAGACTTCTCTCGAGCCCCCAGGAGGGTGAAAATGGCCTCCCCCAGACTCCAGAGACCCTCTGGAAGCTGAAAAATCAGCTGGGAGGCACGCACATGCACAGTGCAAGTAAGGGGGCGGTGGGGCGGTTTCGGCACATCACAAGAAAAAAGTTCACCATCACTGGTATACGGTCTCCTGCTTGAGCAGGGGGCTGGACTAGAAGACCTCCAAGGTCCCTTCCAGTGCCATTCTGATTGGATTGACTGAACTGAAGGTTTTTTTAACTGGTTTGTAAAGATTCCAGAGGAAAGAAATCAGATCTTGTTCAGACAATTCCACATTTGTTTTAGTTGTCGTTTTTACTCTGTTCTTTAGTCGCCATTTATTTATTCATTCGTCTGCCCACCCACCTATCCCTGCATCCAACCATCTGCATGTCACCTCAACTTCTCCGAGCAACCAAGATGCAGAGAAACACAGGAGCCAATTGGCAAGTTTGTGTTTGTAAAATGGCCTTTCTCTTTCTGGAGAGAAGTGAGGTGTGTGTGTGTGTGTGTGTGTGTGTGTGTGTGTTATTCCAAAATAGAGGAGATTAACACATGCACACGTCCTATATGATTATTGGGGGGTTTTAAAGACTTGAACTTTGACTCGATGTATTTTTCGTGAGGTGAGAATTTGACAGGTTTGTGAGTTTTCTGGTTGATACTTGTAGGTTTGGTGTCAGCCAAAAAAGCAGGAAACTGTGTTTTACCTTTTTTATTGAACTATTTTTGATCAGTTATTAGTCTTACCTGGAGCCTTTGTATAGGTAGTCCTCGACTTACAACAGTTTGTTTAATGACTATTCTAAGTTACAGCGGCACTGAAAAAAGTGACTTGACCATTTTTCACAGTTACGATCTTTGCAGCATCCCCATGGTCATATAATCAAAATTCAGACGCTCAACAACTGATTCGTATTTATGACAGTTGCTGTGTCCCAGAGTCATGTGATCACTTTTCTGACCGTCTGACAATGGGGAAGCCAGATTCACTTAACAGCCATGTTATTAATTTAACAATTGCAGTGCTTTGCTTAACAACTGTGGCAATAACAGTCGTAAAATGGAGCAAAATTCACTTAACTATCTCACTTAAAAACATAAAGTTGGGGCTCAGTTGCGGATGTAAGTCGAGGACTCCTGTATTATTTTATCAGGCTGCATTCATTTCCGTTGCATGAAACTGGCATTTTGTGGTGTGTCTTCCGGCCAGTGCACGGGAGGGAGTGTGGAGGCAAGATTCCCTGCTTCTGCCACATGCGCACATGATTTCCAAGCTGCCCCACTGCACTTTCAAACCCCTTTGCCCCAGCCCCCACCCCCCCTTTCTGTTGGCAACTCTAAAAAGACATAGAAATATTTTATGAGTTGACACCCAGGAGGAGAACAAGTGAGAAGCCAGCTCCTAACATGCTGGGGAAAGTTGTTCCCAAAAGTTCCAGGCCCACCGACTCCAAGGGGGAGGAAACGGCACTCACTGTCGTGGCTGCAAATGTCCTATCCAAGCTTCATGAGATGATAGCCTCACATTAGTAATGGGGGGGCGGGGGGGGGAAGGGAATTGGACTGTAAAAAAGGGGAGTGGTGGAAGCCCAGCTGAGCCTTGTGAGAAGCTTCAGCCAGCCAAGTCAACTACTGATATGACATCCCAAAGGTGTCAACTGAACTTTCTATTTTGCTTCGAAGACCAATCTACAACACAGTCCTTGCAGCAGTTAATCCAAGAAGGCTCCACACCCTTTTGCACCACTCAGGTGACCCTGAGGACACAGAGAAACCCCCAAGTGCTTCAACAACCCTCTAAAAGGATGCAAACGACCAGCTGCCTGCAAGGAATATCAGTCCTTCCATTCCCCACCGTCCCATCAGAGCTGAAGAAGCTTCTTGGATGAGAAGTGAAACGTCTTCAAAGAAAAACCAGAAAGTCCAGTTGCCTCCTGAAAAAGCACCTTTGGGACAACCATGACCTGGTGGACTAAGAATCTCCATAGGCATTGACTGATATGAAGAGCTGGGAACCGAGACCCTCCTTCCTAAACAATATACAAGCACCCGGGTGGACATTTACAGATACCTGGGAGATGGCCGGGGGGGGGGGGGGGGGAGGAGGAAATTTTACTTTGCATTGCTTGCACGGGAAAACCTCAGATTCAGCTGATGTTAACTCTGTATCCACCTAAGCTTCAGTAAAGTATAGTCTTGGCAAAACCAAATGGCCAGGAATCTTTCTTTGCTAGACCAGAGGTTTCCAACCTTGGCAACTGTAAGACTGGTGGACTTCAGCTCCCAGAATGCTAGGAGTTGCACTCCTCCAGGCTTAACAGTTGCCAAGGTTGGAGCCCCCTGTGCTAGATGACTGAGCGGGACAGTTGACACTCACGTTGAGCATGGAGGCATCTCGCCGGAACTCCATCAGGTCTTCGCTCAGCTTGCTCTGGTTCTCATCCAGCACATCTGAACGACGAGAGTTAGGAAAATGGGACATATGATTTCTGGATGCAAATGCAAATAAATCATTAAAAACCCCTGAGGCTTCATACCTAAACTAATCCCAATCCGTGTTAGTCTCTTGCGCCAAAAACATTCTGCTGAAAGTTCTTGCAGCGAACACTGTTATAAATTTAGTAGATAAATAACGTATTTCTTTATACGGAGGAATCTTTTTCTGTCTCAATTTGGTCATTTATGATCATTTGGTTATGGCACTTGGACTAACCATCCAACCATGCAGTTTTACTTCCTAGAGCCATGATGCCGAACCTATGGCACGCGTAACCAGCGGTGGCACACAGAGCCCTGCAGGCACGCCCGCTGTCGCCAGCTGCTCTTCCATGTTCTGTTGCATGCATGTGTGGCACTAGACAGCTGGTCCGGCACGCATGTGTACATGGCCAGCTGTCCTCTTTCGGGTTCCGTTGCACAGCTGGTTTTCGTGCAAAGACCAAAAGGTCCAGCTAGGATGATCAGCAATGGGATACATATTTGATTTCCTTTGCTATCCTGGTAAGTAAGTAAGTAAGTAAGTAAGTAAGTAAGTAAGTAAGTAAGTAATCAATCCCCTCTTTCAATTTTGAATTAGAATTGTGTACGAACAATTTTTGGTCCCTGGGAGCTGTGTCAGATTTTCTTTTTTTTTATGGCGGGTAGGGCTAGCTGGATGTTTTTAAAAAGTGGAACCCTGATTCTCCAAAGAAACCACAGAGCAGAACGAATGCTCCAGAATTTTATTTATTTATTTAGGATCCTTTAAGTCAGTTTTTGACTCCTGGTACCTGCCTGGATGAGTCCCTGCAGTTTTCCTAGAAACATTCTTGGAAATGGTTTAGGCCTTGCCTCCTCCTCCTCCTCCTCCTCCTCCTTGGGACTGAGAGGGACTGGCCTGGGTCATCCAAGGGCCTTCATGTCTAAGGTGGGACTAGAGCTCTCAGCCTCCTGGTTTCTAGCCTGATGCCTTAAGCCCTGCACCAAACTGGCTCCCCAGATATTATAAGAATGGGTCAATCAGGAGAACGAGAAGGCAACTCTGGAAGGTGGAGGGGTTTCTAGGTGGGCCACCAAGGCAGAGTGACCCGCTTTCTGCGGAGACTCACCAAACTTCAGTTCCAAGTTCTTCTCCAGCTGGTCTATCTTCTCAGAGAGCTTGCCCAGCATGGAGCGCAGGAAGGCAATCTCCTGGTCCTTCTGAGCCATGGCCACTTGCATCTCATGGAAGCGGTCATCCGTTTGCTGGAGGAACTCCTTCAAACCCTCAAACTTGCACATTTCCAGGTGAGTCTCATATGTGTCCTGGTTTCCTATGAATGTACACCTAGCGGAGAGGAAGCAACTTATTCAGGATGAGAAGTTCCTCTTCAAAACTGTGGTTTTACCTAAGACGAGCTGTGCTCCAGGATCACATCAGAGTGAGCTTTCGTTTGTTTTACTGCACTAGAACCATTTTTCAGGCCAAGGTTTGCACTTGGCCTCAGAACAACTCAGATCCACCCACAGCAACTAGTCGATAGCAGAAATGCCACAGACACAACATGGTCAAATAATCCCCATATTTAAAGACTGATGCTTGGACAGAAAAACAGTCGTCCTGCAAATATTGCAATTGTACCAATGTACCAGAATATGTGAAAACATTTCGGACATTAGATTTCCAAGCCTGTCTGAAGACTTCCGATAAATGAAAGCAAGATTTCACAAGACATTCCAAGGTTCTTACTGTGAGTGGAGTCCTTTCTTGGGTGCTACTGCCAAGCCAGGCTTCCCCCAACCTCTGTATGATCCTCATTTTCCCCCTCTTCTGGAAATGCAAACTTCAGTTTTCTCCCTCTTAAAATTTCACTCTGCTTGCTGTGAACTACTGATGAAGCTGTCTAGAAATTTTTGAATTTTCTCTTTCTGCTCTAAAAACTTAGTCATTCCCCTTAGTTTTGTGTCATCTTTAATACCCTTTTATCCAGTTTTATCCAGTTTTAATATCCTTTCATCCAGTTTTAAATAAAATGTTGAATGGCCCTGGGTGCAGGAAGGAATCCTGTGGTGTTTTACCAGATACTTCCTCCCAAGAGCATGAGGTGTCATATTTGAGGATTCCACAAATGCAATCATTTACTCATTTTGTGAACCCACCTGTGTCTTTTAGCATACACAGAATTGTTAATGGTTAATGGTTCTCACTGTGAGGAAATGTCTTCTGAATTCCAAGTTGCTTCTCTCCTTGATTAGTTCCTGTCCACTGTTTCTTGTCTTGGCTTCTGCGGCTTTGGAGAACTTATTGACCCCCCCCTTCTTTGTGGCAGCCCCTCAAATATTGGAACACCGCTCTTGTTATGGTCTCAGGAAGCCTTGGTCAGAACACTGGGTGTCTAACCACCCTGCTTTCTAGAGGTCTCCCAAGGACAACATAAGTCACTTTCTTCCAAGGTCCTAAGTCCTCTTCTGCACCCACTTCTTCTCTGTTGGTAAAGACTCAGTGTAGGATAGCAGACCTAGCCTTTAGATCTTGTTCTTTCACTTTCTGACAAATGAAGCTGTCAGCAAATTGGTTCGGGATTCACTTTATCTCTAACTTTTTGGCAGGGTACAATTTCCAGATGTCAGAATTGTTGAAAATTCCCATTGTTGCTTTGAGCATCTGAGACAAAAATCCTCATCCATATTTTTTGCCTGTCCAGGCAGCTTTGTAATAACAATGATATCATTTCAGTCTCTATTTTTTTCTCTCTATTTTTATTTCCACTCAGAATCTCTTAACAGGATTTCCATGATACAATTGTGAATTTGTGCACAGGCATTTTTTTAATCTACAGCACAACGCCCCCCCCCCCCCGCCCCTTTCTGTTGACTTTGTTCCCCCTGAGTTAAGTTGTGGCTTTCTAGGCCTTTGCTCATTGTTGGTCATTATGTTTCAGTGATGGCCATTTTTGTCCTTTCTCGTTGGGGTTTCAAATTCTGTTTGTTTCACGAGAATGCTCTGAGACTGCTGTGAAATATTGCGGAGACTGTGAGTTGTACTTCCTCTTGATTTCAGTCTCTAAGTCCTGCCTCTATCCTGGAAGCTCTCTTCTTTGTCTCTCCACTGCAGGCTTTCCTGATGAGATTAACCATGTGGCTGCTAAGAGCATCCTTCCTAGTCAGGGTAAGACATAGCCCAACTCTTACCTACATCCTTCAGGTTGATGGAGTGGTCAAGGAACCCAAACCCTCCTTGTTATTAAGCATGCTTGTCCGCTGGTTGTCATCCGGATCTCCAATGTTTCTGCAGCGTTCTTGCTCTCAGCTGCCAAAGAAGCAGGGAGGGGGGCACAGACATTTGGCCTGGGGAAGCAAGCTGGGGTGAAGTAGTCCCACGAGAACTGGAAAGAAGGTTTGCACTCATGAATTATGATGCTGCTGAGTGGAGCTGTTTACACTCCATCAAGGCCAAAAATCCTGAGACGCCACATGTGAGGAGCCTTCCCATGACACCATACCGGACGTTGATTGGATTCTCAGTGCTGGACCTTGGGCGGAGGGCTTTAGGGTGATTTTCAATGTGTAACTTTCGGCGTTTTGACTCAGACCTTGCCTCGCTTTTGCTGCTATCATTTCAAACATAGTAAAAGTATCTCTTCTCTAATTAAGGGGATGGGGGGAGGGGCTTTCTTTCTTGAGTTTTGAACAGAGGCAGGCCTGACAACACCCTCCTGGCAGTCTCAGTTCTTTCAGCTTCCTGCCTAGGGCCTCAAAGTCTGCAGGAGATCTTCAAGGTCCCTCCTGCCAGTGTTGTTCGTTCCCACATGACTCAGTATGAGGGTCCATTATTGATGGGCTTGGGATGTCCCAGCAGCCTGTCTGTGGCATCCAGGACACGGGCATCTGAAAGTCACGATGCTTCCTGTAGTCTCCTCTCAGACTTACACACTGTGGCCCAAGTTTCTCTCAACAGGGGTATAGGCTTCTTCTTTCTAAAACTGATTCTTGGGCTCCATTGAGCTGTGATGACTTGAATGATTCCTGCTGGCTTCCATGAAACTGAGCCAAGTGGCAATAGACGTCGCATAGAATGAGACTGCTGAAAAGCAATATCAACCCTAATGGTGTTTGGAGTCTTCCACTTTCTTCTTCCTGTTCTATGGCATTCCTATTCCTCTTTTTGTTTTCTCCTTGAGGAAGTTTGTTGTATCCAAGAAGCTCTCGTCTTCATGGTGGCGCAGTGGTTGGAATGCAGTCTTGCAGGCTAATTCTACCGACTGCCAGCAGTTCGATCCTGACTGGCTCAAGGTTGACTCTGCCTTCCATCCTTCCGAGGTGGGTAAAACCCAGATTGCTGGAGGCAAGAGGCTGACTCTGTAAACCGCTTAGCACTGTGAAGGATGGAAGGCGGAGTCAACCTTGCACTGTGAAGTGGTATATAAGTCTAAGTGCTATTGCTATCTTTTTCTGATGTGTGGCAGTGTTTCTTTCCTCAAGTCCCTTTTCCAATTAGCCTGCATTTCCATAGTTTGGGTTCTCGTTAAGAAAAGAGGGCATTTTTTGCAGAGCACCTTGAATCACCATGCTTGGAGTCGCCCCCCTTTCCCCTACCAAACTTCAAGCTAAAATCCTCTTTTGCTCTCCTTTTCACACTTGTTCAACGAGTTTGCCCTCTTGGGAGCTGCCTTGTTTTAAGTCCCCTGACACTGTTTGCCTTTTCACTGAAGCGCAGCTGCCGAATTGCATACATTGAGAGATCAAATGGAAGACATTAAATAGACATGCCTCGTGTGGATTATGATTACAATGAAACTGGCTTCTGAATTGAGGGTGTGAAAGGTTCTTGGGACTAGATATTGCAGAACAGCATAAAGCCAAGCATCACTGGGGACCCAGTATCCAGGGCGAGGCCTGGGAAACGACCCCTGGGATGGGCAAAGAAGGCAAGACTCTCCTAGGAGGTGGTGGATCCCTGCTTACCCGTATTTGGAGTGAGGGCACTTGATGTGCTCACACTCCTTCAGATGGGCCTCCAGGTTCATCTTGAGCAACGGAGGGCAACTGGGATTGTTGGGGCAGCGCACTGGCCGGTAGTCACAGCTACCTTCATGGTCCCTAGATATAAGAGGAGGAATGTCAGAAAATGAGTATCTCTCCCTCCCTCCCTCACACACACACACACACACCCCTTCACTGGATTACCATTCTTTTGGCAAAGGGACCAGACATTTTTCTGGAATGGCATCACGGAAGCCCTCTGGACATCTCCCTCTTGAGGTAACTTGAGGGCAGCTGGCTATTTCCACAGAGTTGCCATAAAACCCAGTACCAATATTTGAGTTGGTGAGATTTTACAAACACCTTGGGGTGCACTTGCACAAAATGGATGTCTTTGTAGGCAGGGTGAAATTCAAAAGCCACACTTTTACTGAAATGAATATTGATGCTGGGCTATAACCATCCAGCTTTTGTCGTCTTATGAGCCCTGGCTATGAAAACAGAGCTGTGGCTTAGTTCGACGAACAATCTGAGCCAGAAAGGTTTCACTGAGTCACTAAACTATTTCTCGCTATTTTGCCAGCTCCGCAACAATGGGGACTGGAATACATCTACAGGGAAGTTGAGATTTTTTTTCAACCTATGCAGCTTCTTCTGCAGCAATCCATGGATAAGCTGTTGCAAAGGTGCTTTTTTCAAGAGGCCACTGGACTTCCTGTTTTTTCATTGAAGACGTTTTGCTTCTCATCCAAAAAGCTTCTTCAACTCTTACTGGATGGTGGGGAATGGAAGGATTTATACCCCTTGCGGGCAGCTCTTTTCCTCCTCTTTACAGACAGCTCAGTTCCCAGAGATCGGGCCTCTGAAGTTCTGGCGCTCCCATCCTGCTGCATCCATTTACATTGGGCCTGCAACGCCCAAAGTGCCGGCCTTCTGGATGGTGCCACACGAGGAAGGCAGGCTGGAGCATGAGAGGAACGCCAGAGGCCCAAAGTCTGGGAACTGAGCTGGCTGGTAAAAAGGTGGAGAAGAGCTGCGAGGAGTATAAATCCTTCCATTCCCCACCATTCAGTCAGAGCTGAAGAAGCTTCCTGGATAAGACGTGAAACGTCTTCAAGGAAAAGCAAAGTCCAGTTGACTCTTGAAAAAAAAGCACTTTTGGGACAACCATGACTGGGAGGACTGAGAATCTCCAGAGACCTAGATAAGATCCATTTAAGATCCCCCCCATAATAACTTGATCTTTGGCCAGTTGCAAAATAGCTGAATTTCAGTGGTGCTTTTCAGTTGATTGTTCAATTATGTAAAGGTAAAGGTTCCCCTCCTCGCACATACACGCTAGTCGTTTCCGGCTCTAGGGGGCGGTGCTCATCTCCGCTACAAAGCCGAAGAGCCAGCGCTGTCTGAAGACGTCTCCCTGGTCATGCGGCCGGCAGGACTAAATGCCGAAGGCGCATGGAGAAACGCTGTCCTCTTCCCACCAAACGGGTCCCTATTTTTCTACTTGCATTTTTTATGTGCTTTCGAACTGCTAGGTTGGCAGAAGCTGGGACAAACAATGGGACCTCACTCCGTCACACGGTGCTAGGGATTCAAACTGCCAATCCTTCTGACTGACAAGCTCAGCGTCTTAGCCACTGAGCCACCGTGTCTCTATTAGAATAGTTTTAAGACAAAGGAGCTGTTTTTTTTTTGGTGGGGGGGGGAGGGGTCCTCCTCCCATCACTGCCTTAGAAAACCACCCAAAGGCCTAAAAAGTTTTACCGTTCCTCTTCGGTCCCCCCGGCTTAAGATTTCTTGGAAAAAAGTCTTCCCTTGGAGCAGAGGGGAGAGCGAATTCAAAGAGGGCTGCTGAATTCAAAGCAGGAGCCATGCCCAAACAAACCCTTGATCATGGGAAGAGGCTTCACACATCTCACTTACTTCCTGGCACTCAGTTTAATGGTGAAGGGGCACCCGTGGGGGTCCACCTCGAAGGCTGGAGGCTTGCCACTCGCGCTGGACCGGCAGCCGTACTTGCAGTGAATGAAGAGCTCTCCGATTTGTTCAGCCACTGCAATGTTGTTCACCACCACTGTCAGTTTGGCATTGTCCACTGGGCACTTCTCTGCAGGGAGAAACCCTTGGTGAGCATGACTTAATTCAGAGACCATCCTGAGCTGGGATCCACTAGGGCAGGGGTCTCCAGCCTTGGCAGTTGAAGTCCACAAGTCTTAAAGTTGTCAAGGTTGGAGACCCCTGCATTAGGATTAACCACTTTAAAAACACTCCTGGGGAACAGTGTGAACCCAACTTCTAAGCGAAGCTGTTGTCCACTTAATTGCAAGTGACTTCCTCAAATGCCTGAATTTGTAAATTCATCAATTAATTGGCATGCCTTTTATCAATTAAATAATTCACAATGTATCCTAGAGGGTCATTCTTCAGGATCTGCAATCATTGTGTGCATTCCCACGTGGCTTTCCCCCTGGATTGTTTCAACCATGGTACCAGGCAGGAAACAGAGAAACATTACAGTGGAGACACTAAAAGAGGCTTAATGAAACAAGGGGAAAAGATCAGGAACTTGGAAAATCCAAACCCCACATCTACTTCTATGACTGCTGCGGTGGCCTAAAGGTGGAGCTCTCACCTCACAATCAGGAGGCTGTGAGTTTGTTCCTAGGTGGAGGCAGATAGTTCTCTCTCTGGGCACAATGAGAATATATCTGCTGAATACAACTCCGCATTGGCAACAGGAAGGGCATCTGGCCAGTAAACACTCAGCTCCATTCAGGTTCCCAGACTCCACCCTACAAGGGATTATGGGATCGGTAAAAGAGGATGGTCTAGTAGTGTCATTGCCCTTGCCAGAGTTGTACAGCCGTGATCCACCAAAGTCCATTACTCTGATATTCATAGTCAAAGGAAATAGCCAGAGCTTCACTTGGCAGAGTGAAATTTCTCAAGAGGTCATTAAAAAATACAAGAATCCAATAAACAGGGAAATCCTGGGTGCCATTTTTAAATTTGAATTTGACCAAGAAGCAAAAATATATTTAAAAAAAGAAAAGAAAACCTGCACGTTCCAATCGTGCAGGTAGTCCTCGTCTTACAATAGTTCACTTAGTGACCTTTCAAAGCTACAACGGCACTGAAAAAGTGACTTATGACGGTTTTTCACACTTACGTGCCCAGTGGTGGGCTGCAATTTTTTTTAACTATCAGTAGGCTGGGTAGGCATGACGGTCATGTGACAAGGTGGGTGACGTCACTCATCACACCCAGCCCCACCTCCTGGCAACTCACCTCAAAGGAAGAGGTGGGATTCAGCCGGTTGGGGCCAATCCCATCACTGGCTGGTCCCAACCTGCCCGTTTTTCGGCCTCTTTTCAGGCTGTTTTTTAGGCAGTTTGGGGGGCATTTTCAGGCCGTTTTGGCATGGGAAAACAGCCTGAAAAGGGTTCAAAAACAGGCCGAAAATGGGTGGGGGCAGGGCCAGTCAGTGGTGGGATTTGCCAGTTTGCCGAACTGCGCCTAATCTTAACCACCGGTTCATGAGAACCGGTGCAAACCGGCAACAGCCCACCTCCGATCCTCCCCGTGATCACGTGATCACAATTCAGACGCTTGGCAACTGGTTCATGCTTCCGACGGTTGCAATGTCTTGGGCTGACGGGACCCCACTTTGCGACCTTCTGACAAAGTTAACAGGGAAAACCAGATTCACTTAATAACCATGGGACTAACTTAACAACTGCAGCTAAGAAAGGTCGTAAAATGGGGCAAAACTCACTTAACAAATGCCTCACTTAACAACTGAAATTTTGGGCTCCATTATGATCGTTGAGGACTACCTGTCATTCAACCACAAAAAGACTGAAATACCTACCAGAGGTTAAGGCACATCTCCTGCAAAATGTGTGCTGTGAAGAAAGAGAACACAAGGAGGTAAGAAATAGGGTGCATATCGCACAATGCCCGGTCTTCACCACCAGGGGGCAGCATCTATGGGTCCTGCTAGATTGCATCTGCTTCCTAGAGACCCACCCCTTTTAATCCACTTGTGCTCTGGAAGCTACAACTGGTGGATTGGGCTCCTTTTGTCCAGATCTTTGTGGAAGAGCCTGGATTCAGCCTCCCTGTGTCCAGAGGTGGCATTCAGCCGGTTCTGGCCAGTTCTGGAGAACCGGTAGTAGACATTTTGAGTAGTTCAGAGAACCGGCCAATCCCACCTCTGAGTGGACCCGCCAACCCCATCTCTTCTCCGCCTCCCATTGAGTCCCAGCTGATCGGCTGGGTCTCCTTTGGTTGCCCTGCACAGGAGAATGGAGCTGGAAAGCAGGTTGGTGGGGTGGGGAGGGAAGGGGGATTTTGCAGTATATCCTTCCCCTGCCACGCCCACAAAACATGCCCACCAAGCCACACCCACAGAACCGGCAGTGAAATTTTTGAATCCCACCACTGCCTGTGTCCAACTCAACACTAAGAAAGCAAAACAAAGACAAATGGCATCGTCCTTCCTCATACGCAACCTAGCCAAGTTTTTTAAAAATGAATCCATTATCTGGAAAGAAAACAACTCTGAAAAAAACAGATCTTGAAAATTTTTCTTTTTATCCCATGGCTGGATTCTGGGCTATAAAAGGTGACATGTTTCCTTTTTCTGTGACCCCTTGCATTTCTTCTTCCAGGCAGATGCCATTCACCCCAGTCTTACCAAAAGCTTCATTTCATTTGGTTCCATTTAGGTCTTAGAACCCCACTTAAAATTATGCAGTTTGCATAATTACAGCATCTGATCCAAACCCTCAGCCTTTCTATTTAAAACTCTTGCAGGGGAACGAAGCACGGAAAAGCTTACGATTCAACTGCAAAGGAAGATGGATCTCAAATTGGTTTAATATGCCTTAATAACTTGTTTTAGGCAGTTAAGGTTGTCTTAGAATTTCTCTGTACATTAATATACAGTTTAAAAACTGAGCTTTAGCTTGCTAATAAAAAAGTTTATTTTTCTGCTAAGTAATTCACCTAATTTTCATATGTGAAAATTGGACTTGTGCCAAACATTGTAAACTAAAGTAGGCAAACAGAACCTCTGAAAAGGATACAAGAGACCTTCATTTTCCTTCTTAGATTCTCCAGCACAACCAACTGGTCCACCTTGTTTGGGCCGCCAAACCGAACTGGCTCCAAGTGTTTTGCTCAAAGCTGATCTTACTCTCCTTTTACTGGGGAGATGAGGAGGGGGCTCCGCAGCTCCCCACAACTGAGGGGTAATTCCTCCCCAGCTGCTCAGTTCCCTTTCCTGTTCTACCCATTCAGGAAAACACTCTCGCCAGGGAGGCCAAAACTGTCAGCACCTGAGCAGAAAGCAAGCTGGGCCCTGCTCCCAATTTCCATTCCCACATCCCCCAAATCGTGTCAGAGCAGCTGGCTGGAAGAATCGCGAGGGAACCGCACAACAGAAAGGGGGTTCTGTCTGGATGGACTCTGTTGGGTCTGTCCACGTAACATTAACCCTTGTTTAGGAAATGTCTGGCATGAAGGACATCTGGAAGAATAAGGACATCAGTCTGGCAATCCAGTGCACATTAGCTAATGCAATAAGGTTCCCCTCGCACATGCATGCTAGTCGTTTTCTGGCTCTAGGGGGCGGTGCTCATTTCCATTCCAAAGCCGAGGAGCTAGCATTGTCCAAAGACGTCTCCATGGTCATGTGGCTGGTAGGACTGAAGGCCGAAGGCGCACGGAATGATGTTACATTTCCACCAAAGGGATCCCTGTTTTTCTACTTGCATTTTTTACGTGCTTTTGAACTGCTAGGTTGGCAGAAGCTGGGAGAAGGAACAGGAACTCGCTCCATCACACGATGCTAGGGTTTCAAACCGCCAAACTGCCAACCCTTTCTGATCGACAAGCTCTTAGCCACCGAGCCACCGCGTCCCTCAGCTAACGCAATAATTTTTCCTATTCCTATTTATGGCTGCGAAACTTTGGACTCTGAAAAAGGCCGCTAGGAGAACGGTGGATACCTTTGAACTGTGGGGCTGGAGGCGACTATTATGCATCCCATGGACTGTAAAAATAACCAAGAGGTCCTAGAGATGGAACTTCACCCAAAATATCCCTCGAAGCCAAGATCGCCAAGCAGAGGCTGTCATACTTCGGCCATGTCATGAGAGCTGATTGATTTGAAAAGTCACTCAGACCGCTTCTGAACTTCAGGCTTGAAGTGGAAAAGAAGGAAACTTTGATTTGGGGTTTTACCAATTAGGCTGATCGATCCTTATTGATATTATTATGAAAAAAAAGCAAAAAGCTGTGATTTGATGTTAATGCTTTATTTTACTGCAACCAAGAGTTGGAAGTCAATGCTTCTTTTTCTCTTTTTTCTTATCCTTCCTCACTTCTCCTTCCCTTCTTCCCACTGCTTTTCTATTTATTTTTTTAATACTTATCTTATAATATTTTATAACGCAATAAAAATGTAAAATCCCCCCCCCCCGCAAATGTCAATTCTGCTGGGGCTGATCAGAGGAATAAGGAGAGGGGGCCACCCTAGCACCCACTGGTTGGACTCTATAAAGGATGACACTGGGGTGACCGTGGTGGACCTGAAGGAGGCGGGGTGAGACAAAGGGGCATGGAGAGTGCTGACCCACACAGAGCGGCCGAGGGTCAGACTCGAGAGGTGTAAAACCGCACCAATAGCCACAGCAGTGCATTGATTAGAGTGCTGGCTGCCAGCAAAGTGCCGGCTGTCTTCTGATTGCCAGCTGCCAGCCATTTGGCAGTTCGAATCTCACCAGGCTGAAGGTTGACTCAGCCTTGCATCCTTCTGAGGTGGGTCAAATGAGGACCCAGATTGTTGGGGGCAAGAGGCTGACTCTGTTAAACTGCTTAGAGAGGCACTGTAGAGCACTATAAAGCAGTATATAAGTCTAAGTGCTATTGCACTCCCTCCCTCCCATCCATCCATCCATCCATGGTGCGCAGTGGTTAGAATGCAGTATTGCAGGCTATCTCTGCCCATAGCCAGGAATTCGATCCTGACTGGCTCAAGGTTGACTCAGCCTTCCGTCCTTGCGAGGTGGGTAAAATGAAGACCCAGATTATTGGGGGAAAGAGGCTGACTCTTTAAACTGCTTAGAGAGGCCTACACGGTCTAAGCTCCCTACCAGGGAAGATTCCAGAGTTGATCAAAGAAAGATGCATTGATTTGGATTATTGCACTGAGCAGGAAAGTTGGACTGGATGGCCAAGTTGATCCCCAAACGTGCTCCAATTCAGTCCCCCTACCGCCTTCTCCATACGACCGAAACGGCGGCCTGGTTCAGTTCCTTACCCCACAGGTCGTGATCACAGGATCTTTAAACACACTGCAACACAACTGGCAACAGAGTTTCACAGAGGGCTGCTCAGCAAACACCAGAGGCTCCTGCAACCAACCAGAAGACACACACAGGTGAGAATGAAAGAGCGCCCCCCCTTTGCTCAAATGCGGCAATGCTCTGCCAGGCCGGGGAGTTCGGGAGACAAAATTTACAGCTAGGCCTCGACTTACAACCACAACTGAGCCCAAAGTTTCTGTTGCTAGGAGACACGGTTATTAAGTGAGCTTCACCCCATTTCATGGCTTTACTTGCACGCAGGGAGGAACGGAGAAGAGAGCAACATGGATTGCATGGCTTACGAGGGAGGAAAGGGCCTCGATTCCCTTCATTAGCCACAGCTGGGAAGGGAGTTTAAAGGAGAGGCATGCTGAGTGCAGCATCTACTGGGAGCAAACGTGAGTTCATCTTGTGTTGTCTTTGCTTATCTGTGTTCCTGGCATCTTCCCATCTGTGTTGAATTACTGTCGTTCCTTCACGTCTGGAATTCCTTCTCCTGCCCTACCAGACTAATATTCTCATTTTGCCTTGATTGGACTTATAGTTTTTTGTTGAGCACTTTTTGGACTTGATTCTCTGCAGGCAAAGGCTGTTCCTGGGAGAGTTTTTCTCCAGCAAGAAGGTAACCAGGACATTGGGGCCCAAGTTGGAGCTAATAAAGGGACTCCCACTGATTATCCGACTGTGTTGCCTTTGTGCCACGTCCCTTTGGGTCATCACAACAGCACTGAAAAAAGTGACTCATAAAAGTCATTCTTACCACCACTGCAGCATCCCTATTCTCAGGGGATCAAAATTCAAACACTTGGCAGTTGACTCATACTGACAATGGTTGCAGTACCCTGAGGTCATGGGATCCCCTTTTGTGATCCCCTTCTGGCAAGCAAAGTCAATGGGGAAGCCAGATTCGCTTAACAACAGTCTTACTAACTTAACAGCTGCAGCGATTCACTTAACAACTGTGGCAAGAAAAGTCATAAAATTAGGCAAACCCCACTTAACAAATATTTCATTTAGCAACGGAAAGCTTATGGTTTTAACAATTGTCACCAAAGGTTCCTTTGTGAAAAGAAAAATGAAATTCCTGCTATGCAAAGAGTTTTCTACTTTGGTAGTTAATAGAGAAAAAAATGTATAGACTTGTTCCACATCATGTATTATGGGAAACTCCCCCCCCGACCCCCAAATACCTACTGGCTCCTCCTCTTCCTCATGGAGAGAGAATGTTGAGCGCAGGGACATGTTGGACTCGGAGTGCAAGGAGCGAATGGAGATGGCAGAGTCAGACCGACGGGTGATTGGCGGCTGGAGAGAGAGAGGAGAGAGGGAGGGGGGAGAAAGGGGGGGAGATGAGTTGGTCACTTATTTAAGGTAAAACAGTACAGCAGCCACAACCAAACTTTCAACAAGTGTGTTCAGAACCAGCATTATGGAGGATTCCAGGAAGCCCTTCCTAATGGCAGCCTTTCTTAACAAAACTCAACATATTAACAAAAATTCAATATATTTCTGTCAGGTTCTGTCCCAAGTGGCTGTTTGACCTGCGGCGGGCAAGGGCCAAGCAGCACACAAAGGAACAGTGTGACCACCAAATTCCTTTTGCAAACCTCTCTGCATTTTTTCCAAAACAAGAAACCAACCACAGATTAAACGGAGGGAGGCCTCAATGGCAGACAAAGCACAATTAGCTGCCCTGCAAAGAAGTCACTTTTGCTTCTCACAGAGGTCTGCAAAGTTTAGCCCCTAGAAATCCTTTCACTTCTTGGGCAATAGCAGCGCTTCACTTAACCGTTAAATCCTTGGCAAAAGCTTGACAAATCTCAGACAGGTGGTTGCAAAAGCTCTCCAGACCGATTTCTGCCCCTGAGGCGGATACATAAAAAGCTCACCTTCCCAACATGGAACTTCCTGATGCTGAACCAGGATTCTGGCCAGAAATGCTGGGTCTCGGCTATGATCCTTCACCAAAAAACTACCACGCTTCACTCTCATGGCCTCTGCTGTTCCTAAGAACACTTGTGGTTAGGCTGCTTCTGCTTCTCTCTTTCACACACACTCACACACACACACACACACACAAACACACTTCTGCCAATTTGCTTTGCGTAGATGGCTGGAGACTTCCTCCTATTCAATTCAGTCGGGGTTCTGCTCCGTGGCTTCCTGTTTGGGGGTGGAAGAGCCAGCTGGGCACCATGCCCACCAATCACCCGGCTTGTCCCGGCTGCAGCCTCTCTGGGACTGGCTCAGCAAGGCAGCGGCTAGCGGAACAGCCACCTCTCAGGTTCTCATCCAGGGAAGGAAGGCCAAGGGAGACCCACAGCACCGGCATGAACACGGGGCTGACCCGGGATAAGAAGAGCAGCAATCACAGTAGAGAAGGAGCCACAAAAAGCCGAGTTTAAAAAGGGGGATCTGGCAGCCCTAACTTTTAGACAGAAGAGACACGTGAGTTGTCCATGTCCTGGCCTCTCCATGGCTCCCATGATGCAGTGTATTTTAATTTAGTTTACTTTATTGTCACTGCACCTCACACAACAAAGTTAAATGCCATCTTCAGTGTACGTAAGAAAACTAAAAAAACAGAACAAAAGCACACATCCTTCGCACTCTATGCAATTGAATTGAAAACCCGATACTGCATTAGTATTACACCATATAGTAGAATTCAACAGAGCTCCTGCCCTGGGATAGAAGCTGTTAGTCGGCCTATTTGTCCTTGTTTTTATTGTCCTGTACCGTCTGCTGGATGGTAATAGTTCAAAAAAAGGGGGGATGCCCAGGATGAGATAGATCTTTGAGGATGTTTTGAACTTTCTTAAGGCAGCAGGAGCTCTAAAGCTCTTCCAAAAGAGGGGAGGGGGCAACCCAGGATCCTCTGGGCAATGACCTTAACCCTCTGGAGGGCCGTATCCCACAGGAAGAGATGGAAAGGGAAGTTCAGAACATGCTGACTCTTTGCTGAGGGTAAGCAAGGGGCCTCTCAACAGGCAGCCTATAGTAGGGAACTCAGGAGAGGCTCTCCTGCATCTCACCTGAGGACCTTCTAGGCCAAACACAAATGGTAACAGGTGCCAGACCTTCCCCGGCTTTTGAATACGAGTTTCATTTGACTGTTAAGTAGCTGTTCTGGATTTGCTGTTCTTGCAATGATTAAATCAGGCAGGATAGGACCAGCCTGTCAGTTGACGAATGCTTCCTCAGAGATGAGACATATTTCCATCCCACGCACTGCAAAAGGCAGTTCCAGGAAATCTACTAAGAGGTCTCTTCTTGACTTGAGCACCAGGTCATTATAGGTCACTTTCAGAAAGTCACAAAAGCGATCAGGAAAGCATAGCAGTTCCAAAGTAATCTGGATGGTACCAGTTCTGGCAAGCTAAAAGCTTCAAGGGCTTGCAAGAATTGTGGATTTGAGGCAGTTCTCGCCTTACGACAACATTTCAGCCCAACATTTCTGTTGCTAAGCAAGACACCTTACATGAATTTGCCTCATTTTACAAGCTTTTATAAAGGTATAAAGGACAGGCAAAGGTGATGAAACTTTTGCAGGAAGCAAAGTTATTCGGTCTGTTTGGATTAAACCTTGAAGCTGTGTGGACTTTGTCCTTCAGTTGTTGTTTTTTTTCAATTTAATTTGGCACTTTAGTTGTTGGCAGCACTTCAAAGGAGAGAAAGGTGGGTGCTTATCTTGAGGGACTGTTTGGGACTCATTACAGGCTGGGAATGAACATAATTCCCAGCGTTGAAATAAAACAGGAGTTGTTTGGACTAAGCATCTGCTTAATTACGGTCTCGGGAAGCCTTGGTCAAAACAGTTATTTTGATGAATGCCTGGAACCCCCTTGGGATCTTCAAGGCGGGGGGGGGGGGGGGGGCTCTCTCAAACTACAGTCCTGCAATGCTTCCGGCCTTTTCTATTTGGCTGTGCCCGGAAGGCTGGAAGGCTGTAATTGGCTGTGAAGTAGCGCAAGAGTCAGGGATCCCCAGATTACTGTGCTGAAGATCTGCAGGGATTGCCGGTGGCTCAGAGGTCATGACTGAAGGTGCTGATATTGGCCTTCAAAGCCCTCAGTGGTTTAATACTCCAGGAACCACCTCTCCTGTTGTGATGACCTACAAATCTCCACGCAGGCTCTCCCAGAGATTTATAGTTCAGGCACCAGCTGAGAAGGTCTCTCTCTCTCTCTCTCTCTCACTCTCCTAGGTGCTGAGAGATGAGGCTCTCTTTGAACCCCTACACTCTCACATTTAGAACTTTCATAAAAATGCTTCTCTTTAATCCAGCCTATTATTATTATGAGCCATGGTGGTGCAGTGGTTAAAGTGCCACATTGCAGGCTAAGTTTGCCCACAGCCTGGAGTTCAATCCCGACCAGCTCAAGATTGACTCAGCCTTCCATCCTTCCAAGGTTGGTAAAATGAGGACCCAGATTGTTGGGGACAAGAGGCTGACTCTGTAAACTGCTTAGAGAGGGCTGGAAAGCACTGTGAAGCGGTGTATAAATCTAAGTGTTAATTGCTGTTGCTATTATTAATCAATTTTAGCATTAACTTTGATACACATATTAGCTTTTTAGATTTAAGAGAAATCGTTAGCTTCCTTGAATATCATTTGAGTTGACAGGTGGGATATAAAGTGATTTTTTTAATTTTTTTAATGTTTACTTATCATTTTTTTACAGCGGCCCATCTACCATATGATGTGCATATGTGCATCAAAATGAAAATAAATACATGAAACAGTGACTTCTCTAAAATGTTAAGACTTTACTTGGCACTGGGGTGTCCTGGAAGGGAGCTGGGCTGCAACCAAGAAACTCCTGCACTCCTTTGGCCTTCAAGCCCGCTGGCAGAGAATAAAAACCCAGGGTCAGCCTCATAGATAGCAGCCCTGGTAGTTTTGATTTCTTGCTTTCTTTCTGCTTGAATGCCTTGTTTGGTACAGCAACAAACTAACTGGTTTGGTATAAGACAGGTACAGACTTCAACCGATAGTTAGGTCTGCAGGAAAAAACAATCGCAACCAGCCTGCCTTCCTATGAGGACCTATACACTGCATGAGCCAGGAAGAGGGCTGAGCAAATATCTACAGACCCCTCACATCCTGGACATGAACTGTTTCAACTCCTCCCATCAAGACACCACTATAGGACATTGCATGCCAAAACAATTAGGCACAAACAATTTACTCCCCTGTGACATCACTCTGCTGAACACCTTAAATATCATAGTAGTTTTACGTATAAGGATATTTATCCACGTAATAGGGCTGTATTCGTATTATCCTTTTTATCTTTCCTATTACTGTCTCCTATTGATATCTTGTAATTATATTCACTTGGTTGTTTTGCATGTACACCGAGAGCTTCCGCACCAGAGACCAATCCCTTGTGTGTCCAATGACACTTGGCCAATAAAGCATATCCTACCCTACCTACCTCACCCTTTAAAGGCAAACAGCAGCTCTTAATAAAAAAAGGGCAGCTGAAAGGCATCGGAGGCTTTCTTCCTTGAGTTAATTCATCAATTCATTTTCATTTTGAACAATTTATTCTTCAACCACATCTCCAAGGATAGTATAATGGGATATATTTAGGCCCCAAATTAAGATTTATGGAGTGAAGCCACATTAAATAAGCCATTGGTTTTTTTTTTTCAATTAGCTCAAACTCAAAATGTACTTGAACCCTCCTTAATTCAGGGGGATTCCTATTACTGAGCCTCCAAAAAGCACCAGCCACACGAAGTATTTTATAATTTTCACCCCATATGATATCGTCCTTCTGAATGTGAAATTTCTGAAAACCACTAGCTGAAGTGGTGAAAAAAGGTCAAAACACGACGACAGTACCGGTAGTCCTCGACTTACAACAGTTCGTCTAGTGACTGTTCAAAGTTACAACAGCATTGAAAAAAAGTGACTGAGGCCCATTTTTTACACTGTTACAGCACTCCCATGGCCCTGTGATCAAAGGGAGATGCTTGTCAACTGACTCATATTTATGACCGTTGCAGTGTCCCAGGGTTATGTGAACTCCTTTTGTGACCTAAAGTCAGTGGGGAATCCAGATTCGCTTTACGGTCATATTACTAACTTGACAACTGTAGAAATTCACTTAAACAACTGTGGCAAGAAAGATCATAAAATGGGGCAAAACTCACTTAACAAATGTCTCACTTAGCAACAGAAATTCTGGGGTCATAAGTCGAGGACTACCTGTATTCACGGAGTGGAATAGTTTGCTTTCAGCTTCTACAAGGGAAGAAGAAACTGTCATTTTGGCTACGATTAAAACCTTATAGGCTAATGGAGGATTGGGAAATAGCAAGCTGGATGGAAAGACCAGAAAACAAACTTGCATTTGGTGGCCAGGGACTGCAATCCACCATGAAACGCTTTCAGTTGAAGCCAACAAGCAGCGTTAATAATTGGGGGGAATTGAGAACCTTCAACAGGACTTTGATTTATTCCTATATTGAACTGCCCAGATTCTATGGAGGGGGACATCTCGACAGATGTAAAGGGTTGCGGGGAGAGGAAGCAGACTGGAATTTGTGACCTGAAGCCGGGTCAGAGAAACCGCCGAGGCCTCCATTCCCAATCTGGCCAGCTCTCTTCTCCTCAAAGCACTTACCATGCTGTCATCCTCGTCTCGGGAGGTAAAGGGGAGTGTACTAGAAGAGGAGGCTGTCGGGCGATGTTGCTTGTATGAACTACTTCCATCTGCTACAAGGAGAATCAGGAGAGAGAGAGAGACAGAGAGAGGGGTGAGATATTCTACAACGTAACAGGTTCCCTTAAATCACTGAGCCGCTTTGAAAAACATATCTGGGAAAAATGAAAAACAAATGAATAAAACTCCACACTTCTCCAAAATTTGCTGAGGACGGAACAGAACAATTAAAAAAAAAACAGCTTTAAAATGAAGAGATTTTTCTATCAATAATTCTAACTTCCATGTATTGATCTAGGTCTATATTGTAAATTTATTCTAAATTTATCTCCTGAAAAACAATTCTTATGCCAACAAAAAGCAGTGTCTATGCAGAAGGACCAAAAAGAATTTCTGTGAAAAATTAAGTTTAAAAAAAAAACCCCAAAGTTAATTTCTCCATGGTCAGAAAACACTGAACATCAAAAAACAAGGGTAGGAAGGAATTAAAATGAATGTCCTAAGAGATAAATAGCTAATTGAACCTCTGCTCCCTATAGAAATATATTTTTTTATGTATTTTATTTACTTCGTTTATATCTGTTATAAACTTCATGTTTGCTTGTTTTCATAAACTGAACCATCACTTAAAATATAACCAACTCGAAATTGAGTATTTGTAGCTCAGGGTTGAACTGTGCGGTTCTTGGGTGTTCCCTGAGTGTGACTGTTTTCTTGCAGACATTTCATTACCAAACTGGGTAAACTCATCAGTGCTAGCAGGGAATGGGAGCAAGCAATGTCTGCAAGAAGAGCGACTTCAATTTAATGACTTCATTAATTAGGATGGATTTTTATGATATATGTATTGAAAAAAACTTTAAAGTAGTTTTGTATTTATAAAATGAGTTTGTAAATGCATGTTTTCTGTCCTTCTATGTAATGTTGACTAATTCCCAAAGTTTGTAAAATATTGATACAATTTGAAAATAAAAGAAAAAGATTTTACTCCATGAGGATAAACTTGAGAGATTTAAATTCAATCAGCTAATTAGAGTTAATTGGATTTTTATTGGTGTGATTTATATAATCAAATGAAAGCTTTAATATAGTTTTGTGTTTAAAATGAAGGTTTTTTTTTCCTTTTTACATATATTTGAGTAATTTAAAAGTTTAAAATATCAAAATTAGAAAAAGTGTTTTTCCCTTTAGGATAAAACAACTGAAATAATATAGGGAATTCTTTTAATATAAATTATGACAGTTTGTAAAGATTAATGAGTAAACAGAAGCATACACAATTCCCCACAGCAAGGAGAAGCAGAGAGGGTAAAATTGACTCTTTTATCCAAAGGATAGGATATATATATTTAATTGTGTTTCTTTTGTGGATTTTGTGCTTGCAATGAAAAAAAAAAGAAACTCTGATTTTGTTTTTGCTGATTAGATAGGCTTGTTGCTATAGAAATGGCTAGTTTATACTGGTGTGTAAAAGTAAAAAGGTGAGGTTGTAATGTTGTCATCTTCTATTGTGCTAAAGAGAGTTGGAAATTGAGTGCCTTTTTTTTCCCTTTCCCCTCTTTATACCATGTTTTCTCTTTTTTTCTTCTACTTTTCTATTACTTTTAAAAAATTATTTGTGTTTTATATTTTAACAAACTAATAAAAATGTATTATACGAACAAGAGAACTTTCTTCTGATGCTTAACCCAACTTTGTTTCTCGTATAATTCCACCTATTGTTTCTAGTTCTGTTACCTGGAGCATCAGAAAACAATCTGGCAACATCTTTGGACTGCCATGCTTCCAGGTACTGTACTTGTCAATCGACAACCCTGTTTTCCCCTAATCCTATTATCCAAAATCAACTGATCTATCATGTTGTTATTCTATGGACCTGCTAGTTATTATTGATGTCCTTAAATACGATCCCAAGATCTATTCAGTACTCTACATGTAGCCCGATTAGAGGGATACTGTGATGATCCGGAGCACGGCACAGAGGTAACACAAAGAGCTGGCAGTTCAAACTGGCCCTTTTGTGCTCCAAATCTCCCCCAAGCGCTCCCACGTTTCTGACAAGTCCCTGAGCAGGGTGATAGTAACACCCCTTCCCCAAACCTCAAGCAGCCTCTGGCTGCAATTAATCCAGCTCAGCTCTGTCTCCACCAAGGCTGCACGGCAATCAATCCCAAATATATTTGGCAAAACAAGAGCAAAGCAAGGAGTTCAAGGAGCAAAAAATCCAGATAATCAGTCCAGAACGCCACACAGAAATTCAAGGATTCTCGGCACATTCAAACACGTCAGCACAGAACACTGCAGGAACTCGGCATTCGTTCCCGACAAATGCCCCTCCCCCACAGCATCTCCTGAAGTCTCATTCCCCAGGTATGTCTGGTGAAGCTGGGCAGGGCACTCTCCTCATGATGGCCTGCTCCATCGGAGCTGATCCTGCCTTTTCTGCACCCTCCGAGCCCTTGCATCAGTAGAGGGTGGTTCTCGCTCCTTGTCTGAAATCTGTTCCTTCCTGCCTGCAAGCCTTACTAATTCTGAGAAGCCTTGCCTGGACTGACTCTGCCCTTCCCCAGTTTCTTCCAAGGCCAATGGAGCTGCCCTCTCACCCTCTGTCAGTTCTTGTTCCATCTCATCTTCCCCCGCAGATTCAGACTCCGATGGGAGTCCGAAATTCAACTCTGAATTTTAGGGAACTCAGACTGGAGCTTTCACCTGACGAACAACTTATTGGATTTTCAGATAAAATGAAAGAAGCCGAGATTTATTTATTCTGTAAACTACCTTATAATTTTACACAGATTAGACAGAGCAAAAATTATTCAGTCCCAACCTTTGGTGATGGTGGTCACGGTAGAGTACGTAGGTCCAAAAGTAGTTTCCATTCTTGTCTGCAACAGAGAGACAATGCATTACTTTCCACCCTACCTGGGTTGAAAACAAGAACGGCAAGGAGGTCAGTTGGAGAAAACTCCAGGATGCCAGGTGAGGTGGCCGTCAAACCGTACTGTCTTACCCCGTTTGTGTTTTCTGGGAGTGTTACTGTTGGAGTGTTACTGTTGGAGAAACGATTGTAGCGGGTATTCTTGTTGGCACTCATAATCTAGTCCCACAATGGAACATCATAAAAGCTGCTTCTGGTAACAACAAAAGAGAAGTTTCTTTCATAAACACACAAAACAATATCTGCAAATCCCCCTCCAGTCCTTCACCATTTTTATAATATCCCAAAAAGATGAAAGCAGTTTTTGAAGAAAAGAAGGGAAGTTCCTCAAATCCTGAAATGTACAACCAAACAATGGGAAAGCTTACAACCAAACAATGGGAAACTGCATTAAGTTAAAAAAAAATCCAGTAAGTCTGAAACTATGACTTGTTCAAAACATAATATTAAAAAATTACTGGACCTCATTGGGTTTGTGTTCAGGGTGTTCTGAGAATAATGCTTCATAAAACATTTTTTGCAATGGCTAGAAGTGATTATGTTATAGAAAGAAATAATTATATGCATTTGTTTAAGAAACAAGAACAAAGAGCAACGTTTTAGAAGTCTGTATTCTTTTGAGATACAGGTAGTCCTTGATTTACAGTTGTTCCTATTATCTTCTTACAATATTAGGCAATACCAGTATCAAGAAGTTTCTAGGTTCTATAACCTCCCAGGACTTGAAATGGACACCTAATATTAGAACCATCGTTAAAAACAAAGCATGTTCTTCCTGCATCAACTCAGAAAGTTCAGACTGCCCGAGGAGCTGTTGATACAGTTCTACAGAGGAATGATTGAGTCTGTTCTTTCTACTTCTCTAACTCTCTGGTTTGGTACAGCAACTAAAGCAACTAAAGCAACTAAAACAGGACAGGCACAGACTTCAATGGAGAGTTAGGTCTGCAGGAAAAACAATCACAACCAGCCCACCTTCCAATGAGGAGCAGGATACTGCACGAGCCAGCAAGAGGGCTGAGAAAATATCTACAAACCCCTTACACCCTGGACATAAACTGTTTCAACTCCTCCCCTTGGAACGCCACTATTGGGCATTGCATGTCAAAACAACTAGACACAAAGATAATTCCCCGCCCCCCGCCTTGCTATCACTCTGCTAAACACCTAATTCCCACAACACTATCTTATGCCATGGGATGTCAAACCACCTAGTAAGACTGTATTATTATTATTATTATTATTATTATTATTATTATTATTATTATTATTATTATTATTATTATTATTAATCACCTTTCCTATTACCTACTTCTATTGGTATCTTACGACTATTACTTGTTGATTGTATTTTATGCTTTATCAATTTGTTGTTTCCATGTACTTGGAGTTTATGCACTGAAAACGAATTCCTTGTGTGTTCAATCACGCTTGGCCAATAAATAAAGAATTCTACACTGGAAGCAGCAGCAAGCCGAGACGTGACCCTGGGCAAAACCAGCTGAAAAGTTGCTTCTGTTTTCTCACAGTAATACAGGAACAAGCTGCACAAGGAACTAACCCTCCAGTATGTTTAGGGACAGCACCTGCCTATAGGGAAAGTGAAACCATCTCTGTAAGAGGTGTTTATATAGAAAAAATGAGGAAGTTGATCTGCTGACAAGAGTGATGGGGACAGGCAGGAACAGGATAGATGAATGAATCAAATAAGGGAGGGGTGAGAAAGTGGAAGGATAATGGGAGGGGAAGGACTTTTGGGCTCAGCTGCCAGGAAGAGGTTTGAGCAAAACCGCAAGATCCGCTCCCTTCAGAATTCAAGCAGCACTCTGGAAGGGCAGATAGGCAGGGAAATCCTACTGTAATCTGAAATTATGCCCTGCACAGAGATCATCACAAAGAATGGTAAATTAGTTTTTACCAAACCTGAGCATGTAACCTTTTTATGCATGCCCTATGCCCTACCTAGGACCTCAGTGGATAAGGATTACTAAAAGTGAACTGAAAATGTTCAACTTTGTTTTTTTTACATGTTTCAGAAGCAAAAGTAAAATGAGTGCCTTAATCCTTGCACTAATCGTGCATGAGAAAAAAAATGATCCCACTTAAGGTTCTCGGGGAGTAAATAGTCTTAACAACACACGATGCTTAAAACATCAACTTTGCACCTTCACATCCATAATACCCGCACACTCAAATAACATATTTTAACTGCCAAGAGGACCTTGGAATTTCCTAGAATTAAAAGTGCATGGAAATTTAGATCCCTAATTACAAGCTTGATGTTTATTTTACAAAACATATTTGCTCCCGGGATCGGAGGATTTAAATACCAGCAATAAACTGCCTAAATCCTTAAAAATATTTTAAAATTAATTAAATGTAAATAATTTTAAAATATTTTAATAAAAACCCAGCCTGACAGGGCAACAGCACAGAAATTATTCACCCAAGTCCTCTTTCAGAATGTTTTCTATTCCACAGCCAAGGCTTAAAACTTTAGAATTCCCCGGTGAATGTTTTCTATCCAAGCCCAGGCCTAGAACTGCACAGCTTCTAAGGCCAAGCTACTGCTTACGCACTCTTTGAATAGCATCCAAATGCTTGTCACCCTGAACTGTTAGGCTGAACCTCTCTCCCCTCCCCAATGATTAATGGTGTCGGTTCCTAGTTATCCTACTGCAGTTTCTTCCAAATGTACAACTTGCTAACGATATAAATATTCAGCTCAGATGTCCATTTCTGTCTTAAGGACATGCCTGTACTGCCTAGATTTATATGTGCACGCACCCAAACCGCAGATCATGGAACGCTTAATATGTCTTTGACACCTGGAAGCTAGGAGCAGCCCACATTCAGATAACACACACTTGGCACTTAAACAAGACTTTAACATTATATGCTGTCATTTTCAACTTTTAATTACTACATAGATGAGCAGCATGGTGGCCCACCTCCTGCTCAGAAGGCTGAAAGTTCGATCCTATGCAGAAGATAAAATATCTGCTGTGAACTCAGCATAGGTGTCAGGAAGGGCATCTGGACAGTAACACTCAGCACCACTCCTGACTCGACCCCAAAACAAAGAGTCAGAATAACAGAGTTGGAAGGGGCTTTGGAGGTCTTTTAGTCCAACCCTCCTGCTCAGGCAGGAAATTCTATACCACTGCAAATGGTTGTTCAATCTCTCCTTTAAAACTTCCAGTGTTGGAGCACCCACAACTTCTGAAGGCAAACTGGTCCACGGATTAATGGTTCTATCAGGAAATTAGGTTGCTTCTCTCCTTGATCAGTTTCCATCCATTGCTTCTTGTCCTGCCCTCACAGGAATGACTCCCTCTTCTTTGTGGCAACCCCTGAGATATTGGAACACTGTTATTACGTCACCCCTAGTCCTTTTTCTCATTAAAAGAAAGAAATCCATAGATGGATTTTCTCTAAGACAATCCACAATCTGTTATTTCATATCTCCCAATAGTACATTCATCACCTCTGTAACCTTCATGCTGGCTGTCCTCTTTTTCCTTCTACCTTTCTCAATATTACAGCCTTTTCCAAAGAGCTGGGTCCACTTAACATGTCTGAAGTAGGATAGTTTACACCTGGTGATTTGTGTCCCAGGGAGAACTCTGGGTTGTCTTGTTCAATGATCCATTTCTTTCAGGATACACTAAGAGCAGAAGAGAGCTATTCTGCCTACAACTCAACAGCAAAGGAGCAAGAAAACCTCTTGAATTTTGTACCTAAGCTTACCTGGCATGCTTGTGTGAAATGTTCGCTTCACCTTTGAGAAGGAAAGAACTTTACTTCAACTGACCTTTAGAATCATCCTAGCCTTTATTTATTCTGGAGGGAGTGAACCTTGTACAAAGACTTAAGAAATGAAAGGCAACGCTGTCCAATCTGGTACAGACCAGAGTGAAAACTGCGATCTTTCAGGGAAACCCTACTGGTGATCTTGCTTGTGTGAAAGGTGGAATTTACATCTCTGGGATACATTCCTGAGGCAGATCATTGCAGAGATTCAGAAAACAGTTGAAGTTCAATCTCAAATGAAGTGTCCCAGTCAAAATTCAATCTGTTTACATTGGCCTAACATTTCCCTGAACTTGAAGTGGTAAGAATGGCATTCTTAAGTGGCTCTTTATTGCTACCATACTAGGTTAAACAGAGAGGGGGATGGATGGGCTGCTTTCTAAAAGCTTCTAAGCCATGGGTGTCAAACTCAATTTCATTGAGAGATGCATCAGAGTTGTATCTGACCTTGAGGACGGGGTAGGTGTGGCCAGCTTGATGTCACTTAGGGGGGGAATCTGTGGGGGCCCGAGTACTCTGCCAACAAAAATGGGCTCCTGAGCTCCATTTTCAGTTGTGATGGCCTCCTGCAACCCTCTGCCAGAAAAAAACGGAGCTCTTTTTCCTGGCAGAGACATTGTGGGCCACTCCTTCGCTGCTTCCAAGGCCTTGAGTTTGACACTCCTATTCTAAATAATACTTTTTCAGTTATAGATAGTCCTTGACTTACAATCATTCATTTAGTGACTGTTTGGAGTTACAACAGCACTGAAAAAATGTGACTTATGACTGCTTTTCATAGTTATGACCTTTGCAATATCCCCATGATCACGTGATCCAAATTCAGATGCTCAGCAACTGGTTCATATTTACGACCGTTGCGATGTTTCAGGGTCATGTGATCTCCTTTCCCGCCCTTCTGATAAGCCAAGTCATCAGGGAAAGCCAAATTCACTTAACAACTAGGCTATACTAGCCTATCCACCGCAGCAATTCAACTGAACAACTTTGGCAAGAAAAGTTGTAACATAGGGCAAAACTCCCTTAGCAAATGTCTCACTTAGCAACATAAATTTGGGGCTCATAAATTTTGGACTGTAGGCCGAGGACTACCTATATTTATAATGTTTATATAACTAGCCAACTGATCAGCATGGATTTGATTCAAATCAAGTCAATTTAAATCATGGTTTAAACCATGATTTAAATCACTAGTAAAAAGGCTTGTTTTAAATCAGAGGTCTCCAAACTTGGCAAGTTTTAAGACTTGTGGACTTCAACTCCCAGAATTCTCCAGCCAGCTATGTTTGAAGTCTACAAGTCTTAAAGCTGCCGAGTTTAGGGACCCCTGATTTAAATCAACTCGATTTAAATCGTAATTTATAAAGAGCAACTGTCATCTCTGCTCCTCTTCTGACCCGCTGTCCCCTATATTTCAGAATCTACAACCTCATGCTACATAACTAAGCTCCATTTTCATACCGAATAAACTCAATGATTAATGTAACTTAAACGGAAAACTATCTTTGGGCAGGTTTTTACTCCAAAAAAGCATTTTATTATCAAAATGAATTCGATAAAAATAAAAATAAAACCGATTTAAACATTTTTAATCCGATTTTTATTTTTAAATTTAAAAACCATCGATGTTTTTATCCACCCTGCAGAGTGGATGTCAGAGGACCAAGAAAGAGCATCCGAGCACCCCCCCCCGCCACTTCTCCTTTCCAAGCTGGTCCTTGGCAGGCAAAGCAGCCGAAAGGTAGAATGGAGAGGATTTATTTATCGGGCGGGGGCACCTAAAGGGAACTGTGGGACTACAGAGCCCAGAAGTCCCAGCCAAGCGAGACTCGCAGCGCAATGCCGGGGAGGGCGGCGCTGCTGACAGGCCCGCGAGGTCTCCGCCCTTGGGCGGTGCAGCTCCCATCGTCCCCGCTCGCCGCAAGGGCTGCACTGACGGGGCTGATGGGAGCTGGAGTCACCCGCACCTGATGCCCCCGGCCTGACGCGGCCTGAGGAGAAGCTGGGCCGGGGGCGGCCTCCTCCTCCCCCTCGGCCTCCTCCGGACTCAGCTCCGCGTCCCCCCCCCCTCACCTGTGGGAAGCGGGGGCGGCGGGGCCAGCCTGCGCGCGGCCGCCCACCGCATGGCGCCTCTCCGCCGCTTCCCCGCTGCAAAAAGCACACAGCCGCCCGTCTGATCCGCTCTCCTCTCAGCAGCCGCGCCGGAAGTGCCGCTTCCAGCATTCCCCTCCCCGAGCCGACGGGATTCGTAGTCCTGGTAAGCGTGGCGTTTACATAGAACCGGGTCCCGTTAGCTTTTCGGGTTGCCTACAACTCCCATCAGGGCCCGCGGGGCAGGGGGACTCGCCCGCCCCTTCCGGGTCCCGAAGCCTCGCGTTATTAACAGGTCTTCTCCCCACAGCCTTTAGGATTTCGAGCAGAGTTTCCCGCCCGTCCCGGCTCCGGAGTCGCGTCGCCTCATCCAATCGAATGCCACCCCCACCCCGAGAGGTCGAAGTGGAAGTCCGAAAGCGGATGGCGAATGGATGCGGCCGAAAGAAGCGAACATTCATTGGCTGCGAAGAGGAGAGAAAGGGAGCAACGGGATTGGCTGGTTGCACGCAGAAATGCCAGCCAATCGGAAAGCGGTAAAGCACTATAAAAGGCGCACGCGTGGTCGTTTCGCTCTTTCGTCCCTTTGCTCCGTTGGAATGAGGTCCTTCGTAGGCGGTTGGGCCTTCGGCTCGCTTCGTGCTCCGAGCGACACGCGGCCGCGGTGCCTGCATTTACTCCAAGGCTCTAGAACCCAGCGGGGCCTTTCGGTGAGTTTGGCCACCCGCAGCAACATTTATAGTCCCCTGTTGTGAGGACGGGCCCCTTTGCGTGCCTGCCCAGCCCAATGTTGGCCTTCCTTTCCTGCTTCTGGAGGAGCTGTTAATGGCTGCCTCCCTCAGGGCGGCGAAGGAGCAGTTGTTAACAAGCCTCCCTCCTATTTCTCTCCTAAACCTCCCGCAACGACGATCCTGCGAGGTGGGTTGGGGTGAGAAGGCGACGACTGGCCCGAAGTTCCCCTTCTTCGGGCCTAAGGCGGGACTAGAACTCCCAGCCGCCTGTTTTTTGGGGGCCAGCACCCGGAGGGAGCCTGGCCTCTGCGCCCCCCGTTTTTTTGCTGTGCTAAAATAGCTTCCCAATTTTGGGGCATTGTAAAAGCTTGTAGTGTTTCTTGCAGACAAATTATTCCTGTGTCCCAATTTTTGTAATTGTGTAAAAAAAATTTTTAGAAGGATTTTTGTAATTGTGTAAAAAAAATTTTTAGAAGGATTTAATCCATTCATATATATTGAAAGGATCCTTTTTCTTTTCTCCATCTTGCTTAATTATATTTAGGGTTTGGTTTCCTAGCGAATTCTCCCTCTTCGTTCTCTTAGTCCCTCTTCTTCTTGGTTAATGTTTTCTTTCTTTTTGTCTTTTTCACATTAAGATTTCAAAATATACCTGAAGATGAGAGGAGGAAGATTTAATGGAATTGATGACAAACCTGCTGGTGGACACTTTGCCAATTGAGAGGAGAGGAGGGTAATGGGAGAGGTGATGGACCAAATTTATAGATGAAACTCAAGCTATGTAAGAAGCCAAGTGCGCCTAGGGAGGTCCATGTGACATTTGTGAGGAGAACAATAAGGGATGAAATATTGAAGAGTGCGAGGGAAGAACCATTAGAATACAGAAAAAAGGAAATCAGAGTGTTGGCTTACCTTGGAAGATAAGAGGTCTAAGACGACTTATCAGTTTTTGACAACAAAGCTTAATGAAAAGGAATACATTTTAAATGGCCGATACCTGCAGGAATCCTAATTCACTGGAACTCTAGAAGATATAGAGTGGATTCTCTTTTTATGACATGCAAGCATTTTTGCACATGGTGCACAAGATAAGGAACCCAAAAGAAAACTGAGCTTGTTCATATGCTAATATGGTGGCACTGTAGTCAGACAGCGCTGAAAGGCGTGGAGGATGTGGTCGAGTTTGCCCCTCCTGAATGACCCGAGTTGGTCTGAGCTCCCAGCCCCTCAGTGAAAGATACACCCAGGTAAGTTGACAGGTAAACCCTGAGACCATTCCAGTGGAACCCGGTGGTGCCCTCCCAGAGGAGGATTTTGGCTTTACTGGATGCTGGAAAAGCTTTGACTGAGACTCGAGCGGCTAAGGGTGCCAGTAGCTTTCTGCCAGCTGGATGAGGACAGTAGCTGGGGGACCTTGGCTCATTTTAATACTGAGGCAGTGGAGATGAGAATGGGAAGGCACAGATACTTTGGGTTTCCTAGTAGTGCTGGGGATGGAGAGGTCCCTCCTGCTTGGACTGTCTTGGTCCCAAGAAATGGAACCCTTATGTAAATTGGAGGAGAGGAGGGGCCTTTAAAGATTCTGCTTTTCTTTTTCTGTACAAATAAGATTTTTTTTTTCAGGTATGTTTCCAGCTGGGTAACGTCAGATCAAAATGGGACAAGGGAAAAAGGTGAGTCTTACAAATTGTAGGAGCAAGCATTTTTCTAACCTAAATACCAGCCAGTGATGAACTTTTATTTTCTGACACCTCGTATGAAAACTGCTTGCAGTTGGTGATTTTACACATGTTCTGAGGCTTGGCATTCATATCATAGGGCATTGGGTCTGAATTGAGATGGGGATTTTTTAAAAAAAATTTTTAGAACAGTTCTAAAACAGGCCTCCCAGTTGGGCAGGTCTTCAGCTTATATAATGTCTAAATTGTCTGACTCCCCTGGAATATTTATAGAGTTTTGTCATTGCTGGTTTAAAAAAATCAGTGGCATTGTTCTTTTTAGAAGCAGATGGAAATAGAAGAGGACAGGAATTGCAGCACAGGTAATAAAATAAAGTCAATTTTAAGACAGATTAAAAATAGCATTGTTTTCAATTGAATACTAAGATGTTAGAAAAAAGGCATTCTTTTTTCTAAGGAAGGGCTGGATTTGCTATTTCGTGAGCCAGTGCTGAATACCAGGACAGTTAAACATCAGTGTTGGGCAGGGAGATTATGAAGAGCCAAATAATGGTTAAAAGCTATTCAATTAATCCAGTATCATTTTTGCAGGTGGACTTATCCTTCGACTGAACTACCTTTCTCAACAAATGGAGGCAAAGATCGTTTCTATTTAAAGGTTTAAGTGACACCAGGAGTAAAGTGTTGAATGAAGTAGTGGAAGCTGGCAAAAGCTGCTTTGTGTTGACAATGGTGACAAAGGAGAAGTGCAAATCAGCTAATACTTTTCTCAAAAAATGGAGCCAAGGATTGTTTCTGTTTAGAGGTTTAAGTGGTGGCAGGTCTGACACCAGAAGTAGGCAGGCCTGGGCCTTTAAAGGCCTCCCCCACCCAGAAGGCACCCCACATTCTGCTTAATGATCCACATGTTCATTTAACATTTCATTGGGGAGGACAGAGATGGAGGGGCTGTTGAATGACAGTGTACACCTCCTGTGACAGGCAGCCTCAACATGCAAAACACTCGTGTCTCAACTATGCCTGCATCAGTTGCAGTGTGTATTTTTGCACAGGTAGATCCCTGCCATTTCCACTGAACTGCTCAAGTGCTGCAGGCAGGACGGAGGGGTGAGAGTTGCTTCTTTGTAAAGCAATTACTAAAATTCAAGGATGCCTCCTGGGTTCCTGGGACTAAGATACTAAACAGATTGAAAAATGGGATTCCAACATTGGAAATGTGTGGGGCTTAGTCTGGCAGTGATGATTTTTAATAGTTGTAATGCATCAAAACCTTGCAAAGTTTTGGTGAATGCTGAATAATTTTGGCCAGCTTAAAAAGACTATTTTTGAAGGCTTTTAATTTTCAGTCATTTCATTTTTGCTGCCTTTTGTATGAACCACTCCAATATATCTAATCCCTTGCCACTAATGAAAATGTTTAAATTAAAATGAAAAACCAATTGAATTTTGGAAGTGCTTTAGTGCCAATTGTTACCATTTTCTTGTGAAATATCTTGTACATCATTTATAAGCCCAATCTGTTGTGGCAGATAAACTGTTAACTTGATTTTTTAAAGAATAAACAAAGCTTAACAATTTGGAATGTTTGAATTTTCTAATAACCCTACAGTCTAGACACAATGGATTTTCAGAGTTGGCTTGGGGTCAAACACCATGTTCATTTGTCTTCGTAAACCCAAAACTACTAAGTCACTATTCTTGAAGTGTGCAAGTGCTTTGAAGGCCAAAGACAAAAAACGTTTTCCCCCTGCCCTTGCTGGGTTGGGTCTGCTAATGCTGCCAATGTAGAGGTGCTTTAAACTCCAATTTGCCAAATTTTAATTGAATAATGATGAAATTAGGACTGGAGAGAGTAACTGCATCATCTCTAGGGTGTACCTCAAGTTCTTTAGTTAAACTGCAATGCATTCTATGTAGAGTGTGGAAATTCCCAGCTATCTTGGTCCTGGTTGCCCCGAAGGTGATTTTTTTTAAAAGGCAAATGGACTTTTGTTTTCCCTGAATAGTACAAACAGGTGTTGAGTCTTCTTGGAATTGCTTGCAAGAGGTTTCAGCAGTTCCAAGAAGGTTCCTCGCTCTATATGCGCTATTCGGATGACCCTGAGGGCACAGATAACGACTCTCAGAAAATACTAGCCAGATGATTGCAAAAAGTATAAATATTCCCGTTCACCACCATTCAGTCAGAACTGAAGAAGCTTCTTTGGAAGAGAAAAAAAAAACGTGTTCAAGTCCAGTTACCTTTTGAAAGAAACACTTGGGATTCTAAGCAGAGCCATTGCTCTCCTAAGTGATGCTCTAGACCAGAGGGTGTCAAACTCAGTCCAGATTTGACCCTGGAAGCCAGAGGACCGGCCCGCAGTGCCTCTGCCAGGGAAAATGGCCCCGCTGAAGTCCATTTTTGCTGGCAGAGGGTTGCTGAAAACTGATCTCAGGAGCCTGTTCCTGACAAGTGACATTGAGCTGACCTCCCTCCCCACCCCATCAAACAACGCTGATGCGGTCCTCCATGATACTGAATTTGGTACCCTTTCTTTAGCCAGTTAGAACAAGATTTTCCATCTTTAGATTGGCTAGCGCAGTGTTTTCTTGTCCCAACAGCACGCTATGGTTCTCCCCCTACCCCTTCCCTTTTCAGCCTGATGTCCCTTCCTTGGACATCTTTTTCAGCCAAACTAAGTGTAAAATTATTAACCTTTATGCTAAATTCCTAGTAAGAATTGGGACCTTAAATCACGCAGAATGAAAAACTCATTGCTTTCACTTGAACGGACGGAGGAGTCCCGGCAAAGAAAGAAACACGGAGCGTTCTAGGAAGGAGGCCTGCTTTTGGACCTTCAGAAGCAAGCATCATTAAAAAAAAATCCTTTATTATGAGAAACCCCAAAAAGCTATAAACAAGAGCCAACAGTTAACCTTGGTACATAAATAAAACTTTTGAGAGATGCTCAGGAACTCTGAACTCTTAGCTACATGGCAACAAAGCCAGGCAGGGAACAGGCTGGGTCCTGCCAAGGCAGCCCATGTGCTGGCCAGACGGGGTTTGCCGAAGCCAAGCTACAAATGCAGGACCTTCGAAGTTAAGGCAAGACTGGCCCAACTCCTGCAGTTCTGCATTGCACACAGTTTCCTCCCACCTTGTGGATGGACAAGCCACTAAGAACTGCAGAGATGAGACATGCAAGCTGCCTTTGATAGGTTTTCTCCTTGGAGAAGTGGTGAAAATAATCCAATTTAAGGGCTTGTGTAAAGGACTCTTAACTTAAAACGCATCTGCTTGGGCACAAGGAAAACAACACTTAACAAGGAAAGCCCAATGGCAACTTAGCACACGTATCACAAAGCACCCTAATCCACATTGCCCAATACCCTGAAATAAAACAGGCTGACCAGATAATGCGTGTCCTCTTCTGCTAAGATTGGGCTGCTGAGTTGCTGGATTGTACAATCGAGCTGGACGCTTCCCTGAACCAGCTCTACACTGGTAGGTGTTTTCCCAGGCGTGTTGGACCTGCACCGTGGCTGCACTTAGTGGGCTTGCAGGGGTTGACACCCCTATGCATCAGGAGGGCCACAGGTTGGAAAAGGCGGGTGCAAACATGGAGCCCCTTGCTAGCAAGTCATAGGGCCCGGTAAAAAAATGCTGAAGCAAAGATGATCGCATAGAAGAGCAGAGCCTGCTCCACAGCTGGACAGGATCCCCTCGGGGTGTGGAGAGAAAGTGGCCATCACAACCCCAGGGAGTCCTACACACTTCCTGCCTTCCGCTGGAAGACTTAGCAAGAGCACTTCATCTTATATACCACTTCATAGTGCTTTGGAGCACTTTTAAGTGGTTTATACAGAGTCAGCCTCTTGCCCCCGCCCCCCCAACAATTTTACCGACCACGGAAGGCTGAGCCAACCTTGAGCCGGTCAGGATCGAACTAGCGGTGGGAGGAGTCAGCCTGCAATGCTGCCTTCTAACCACTGAATCACCACGGTGAGAGAGGAGATAGCAATAGCACGTAGACTTATATATCACTCCATAGTGCTTTATAGCACTCCCTATGCGGTTCACAGAGTTGGCCTCTTGTCCCCACAACAAGCTGGGTCTTCATTTTACCGACTTTGGAAGGCTGAGTCAACCTTGAGCCAATCAGGATTGAGCTCCTGGAGGTGGGCAGATTCAGCCTGCAATGCTGCCTTCTAACCACTGCGCCACCACAGCTGCTACCTGCTACATCTCGGTCCCATCTACCCGACCCAAGAATTAAGCCTGCTGGACTTCTTTGCCAGCCCTGATGTGGAGAGATATTTCCCCCACTTGCCATCGGGGCTCTGGGTCCTTCTCCCCTTCTTTGGGCAGGTGCAAATATCCACGCCGAGAGAGAGCCCTCTTGATGAAAAGAGCCAATTTTTCCCCCCAATGGGGACAGAATTCCTGGAAGGAAATCAACCATCCCTGGGATCAACCCCTGGAGATGCATGAAGGAAATGAAGGACTTACCCCCATCCAGTGGTGGTATTCAAAAACTTTTACTACCGGTTCTGTGGGCCTGGCTTGGTGGGCGTGGCTTTTTTGCAGCCGCCCCCTCCCCCATTTTTGGGAGCTTCCTAGCCTCAGAGATGTCAGGTAGGCAGGCAGGCGGGGTGAGCGACTGGGGGGGGGGGGCGTGGCCAGCCAGAACTTACTACCGGTTCGGCAACCCACGCCAAATTCTTGCTACCGGTTCACCCGCTCCGTTGCGAACCGGCTGAATACCACCACTGCCCCCATCCTATAAGATTGCTCCCTCTGTGTTACACTTCTACCAAAAAAAAAGAAAAAAAAAAGGCACACCCTCCCACGCGGGGAAATGGCCAGAGCTGCGGCACAACAACCAAAGCTAGAGCAGAGGGAACATTTTATTCTGCCCTGTGGAGAGGGGTGGGGGGTCAGCAAATGACAGCCAAGAAGAGTCAGCTAGTTTCGGGTGTTGGGGGGGGGGGGAGGAAATGTGTTCGAAGAACTATCAGCAATAGCGCACACCAAACATTTAAGTTCAATCTATTTAAAAAAATAAAGAGCAGTGGAAATCCCCATGTTTGGGTACTCATTGAGGCAGTAATGATGAAAGTGGAGCTGAAGTCCCACCTAAACAGTCGCTATATGAAGCCAATCCATGGCAACTGGACTCTCCCTGGCAAGGACTTTGGGGAGGAGGGGCTCCCCTGTGGCCCCACTCCCTTTGGGGGTCACTCATGCGGGATATCAACATTGAAATGGGCACAAACCTCTCCCTCTTTCTCCCCCACCCCCAAAGGTCCTGTCCGCATTCAGATTGTCCATTGCTGCTTCTAACCTGGATCTCTTTTGGAAAAAAACAACAACCCACTTGCCTGCCCCGTGAAGGAAAAAAAGCTGCCCCCATTTATCCTTCCAAAGATTCACCTGGACAAAGACAACAAGACACAAGGAAGAGATTTGTAGCGCTTGTGCAGCAGGAAGGAGGAGAACAAGAGTGGCAGATACGGATGCAGCAGGCGGGGTGCTTGTGGCAAGTCTCCTTCAAGGGGGGGAGGTGGTCTGGACAGGACCCCCCGAGAGAGAGTCTATGAGCGGCAGCAGCCAGCGCCCTTCACCTCCTTCCGGACGTAGTCGTGCAGCCTGAACCGGGGCTCGTTGGGCAGCTTCATGGACCGGTGTTTCAACTCTCTGGCAATTGAACACAAGGTTTGGTCAGTTCTCCTGTGCACAGCCAGGCAGTTCCTCCTCTAATCTGACCCTAACCCTCCTCCCAAAGGGGAGTGACAGAAACCGACAGTGAAGTGGGTGTGTGGGGTCTCTAACAATGCTTCAAGCTGTACACATAGCACTTATAAGTAGTACCATTATTAACTGAGCTTCCTATAATCTTCTCCGCTGCCTTCACCATTCTCTGTAGGGACTTTCTATCTGAGGCACTGCTGCCACCAAACCAAATAGGGATGCAGGTTGAAGTCGCTTAGTTTGAGTAGCACCAGTCCAGACTATGTGCTTCTTCGAAGCCCTTGGTAATGCCCACAATGTGTGCCCCAACGCCATCTTTGAGGCCATCGACCTGTCCTCCTGCCATGAGGTATCCCTTCCATGGCCACACAAGGAAGTCAAGGGGTCAATGTCTAGCCCACAATGGCAGAGGAGTTGGTCCACTTACTCATCCCTCCCATTCTGTCCAACTGGCCTCCAACTCTGAGCAGAGGGAGCATTCCCTGAGAATTTCCCAACAGCTCAGCTCGGGCGTTAGAAAGGGTTGCTGGATGTCATGCCACGGATGCAATAACGGTGGCAAATTTCCTCTATTTATTATTTTTATAAATAACTGAAGCCAGTGAACATATCTCGTATCCCTTCCTCTGACATTCTCCACAACCGCAATCCTGTGAGGTGAGTTGGGCTGAGGAGAGACACTGGCCCAAAGCCACCCAGCCAAGCTTTCATGCCTAAAGCAGGACTAGAACCCCTGGTCTCCTGGTTGCTAGTTCTGGTGCCTTAGCCTCTAGGCCAAACTCATCCCATAGGCTGCAGTTACCCTCACCTAGTCAGATTTGATGTCTTTTGCCTGCGTTGCTCCAGGTCTCTCTTCATCTCCCAGAATTTTTCATAGAACTCCCGCCCCCACCTGAAATGGCAGTGCCATGCTTGGCTGCGGCTGCTTCACTGAACAGTGTTTCTGAAATAGCTTTGTACCATCTAGCATCTACCTTGTTAATTCTCAAGACTTTTCTGCTGTCTATTCAAAATAGACTATGATATATACTGTATGTATATATGCATGTGTATGTCTATATTTGTGTGTCTATATTTATCTCTATTTACCAGTTTATCTATCTATCTATCTATCTATCATCTATTATCTATATCTATCTATCATCTCTATCTCTATCATCTCTATCTCATATCTATCTATCGATCAATCTATCTATCTATCCTATATCTATCTATCTATCTATCTATCTATCTATCTATCTATCTATCTATCTATCTATCTATCTATCATCTATCTATTATCTATATCGATCTATCTACCATCTCTATCTCTATCCTATCTATCTATCTATCTATCTATCTATCTATCTATCTATCTATCTATCTATCTATCTATCTATCTATCTATCTATCTATCTATCTATCATCTATATCATCATCATCTATCACCCATCCATGCATCTATCTATCCTTCTGAGAGCGGGCATCAGAATTTCATTTTTTGATGTGTGCCAGTGTATTTACAGAAAAAAGTGACAATAACGCTTATCCTATGTTACATCTTAAGAGACCCTGCACCCCCCTTTCTACTTCTTATTCTGCCAAACATCAGCAATGTCCTTGGGAGCTGAGTGTTGGCGATGGATATGCATTTTTGACGGGAGAATGGAAATGAAGGAACTTACTTTGCGATGGCCATGAACGCTAAGTCCACATTCAATCCGCTCTTGGCGCTGGTCTCCATAAAGGGCACCCCGTATTCCTGCACCAAAGAAATAAGACATTTGGGGCTCATTGCTTTCCTCTCCAATTCTCTTTCTCAGATTGGGCGTGGACAATCCCACACGGATTCTGTGGTTCCATGTCACAGCTTCCCTCTGCATGCATGTTATCCTGGACAGGCTGCCTCAAGATGTCCCTGGGGTGGAAGTATCTTTTGTACCTTACTGCAGCCCAGAGATGCTGCAAAAGAATTGAATCCTACAATCCTAGGGTTGGGAGGGATCTGGAGATCCTCTAGCCCAGACCCCTCCCTGTCTTTGGCAGGGGTCCTCATACCACCTCAAATTGTGGTCCAGTCTTTTCTTGAAAGCCTCCAGTAATGGAACATCCACAACTCTGAGAGGCAAGCAATTGTTCTGACCCATCTCCCCAAACACGACAAACCCTCCGTAGTTGAAGCAATGATTCCTTTATAGCGGCGTCAGTAGCCCAGGCAAAAAGTTTCACTCTCACTGCAGGGAGAGTCTGTCCAACAGGGAGATGAATAATTGTCTGCCACTCCTATTCATCTCCACCCCCTGCCTTTTATCACCAGAGATAGGGTGGGGGTTCGCTAGCAGCGGTGGCTCCCTAGGACCGGCCCATAGATTTCCACTGCTCTCCTCTCCTCTGCCTTCTCCTCATCCACATCTCAGGCACTGAACCCCGATGTTCCTCCTCTTCCACATCAGCCACCTCCAGACCTGGGGGCTGTTGACTCTCCCTGTGAGGGCTGACGGACGGTCAAGTCTCTGCCTGCCTCTCTCTCTCTCTCTCTCTCTCTCTCTCTCTCTCTCTCTCTCTCTCTGCCAGCTCCATTCCCTCTTCCCCCTCGGAGTTCTCATGTTGCTTTCATGCTGACCCTGACTCCCACCCTTCCTGCTCCTCCTCCTCCTCCTCTGATTCGGCTACTGAAAGGGACGGCAGCCGACAAGCCCCAATAGAGCTAATTTCTGAATAAAGCTAATTTCTTCAACGGAGGTCATCCTTTTTGTTTCTTGGCTGCTGAAAAACAGATCATCATATTTACCACTTAAACATGAGCCAGCAGTGTGTGGCAGCAGCCAAAAAAAGCGAATACAATCCTTGGTTCTATAAACAAAGACCGAGGCAAGACCGAATGTATTCTGCCATCTCCTGCAAATGCAGCTCAAGCACAACCTGAATCATTATCTCCAATTCCTTGTCAGGTTTTGATCTTTTCCTGGTGGATGTGTAATTTAATAATAATTTTATGTAATAGCATAACGTGTAATTTTGTTGGCATTCTTCCCTGTAATTCTCTATATAACATGGTACAGCAGAAGAGATTAGGTTCTATTAGCTGTGGAAGCAGATGCAATTTTTTGAAGGTCTCCTGGAGCCAAATTGCCCTTAATTTTAATGAAGTGGGTGACCCACATACCTTTGCTAATTTCTCCCCATCTTCTCTTTTCACCACTCGGTCCTGGGTTGAATCCACCTGAGCACAACAAGAAAGCATCAATGTCTGCAGCAGGAGCAGTGCATTCTGGGACTGCTCAGATAATACCGGTCCCATCGCCTGGGAGGTCTCCAGCTTGGATGGACCAAACCAGGGCCCCGCCACCCTTCCTGCAGCAGGTGAGGGTATGAGGCAGGGGTATGAGGTGGATGAGTGTTTTGAGGTTTTATTTCTTCCTGTGCAAAACACCTCTAGCTTCCTCTGCCCTTGTTAAACAGCTTCTATGTCCAAAACAGATCCAGTCCAACACCAGGCTGTCAGTTAAGCACTCACCTTGTTTCCCAGTAACATAAGGACCACGTCTTGCTTTGCATATTCGTGGATTTCTGTCAGCCAAGCCTAAAAAGGAACATAGGATAATCAGAGATCACAGGAGCAACGTTTGGAAGATACCGGGATATTTTCCAAAACATATTAATGGGCTACTGCAAGGACTTGTCCCTCCTCTCTCCTCAAGAAAACAGAACTCTTGAAACAGGCATTATTTCAAAAGGAAACCTTTATTGGGAGAAAGTGAAAGCAAGGAAAGCAAGGCAGGATCTGAAGTGCTCACTCAAAAACCGTTAGGTTAAACATTGCAGAAAACCTGCCCCCTATGTCCAGTCGGAAGCGAACCAAATCCACAGGTGTGAAGTGCCAAGCTGAGAAAAGTGGTAAGTTGTTCTCAGATGGCCCTAGGCAGTTCCCTCCCCCTCCCTTTCCCAAGCAGGTACATCAAAGTGACAGGAAGTCCAGACACAGGAAAGAAGTTGTAAAGAAGCATCCAAGGCCCTCTCCCCGCCAGAATGGCAGCATCCTGATAAGGATCTTAGGGACCTGACAGATATTCCAAGAAATCATAAAACAAGAAAAGCTCTCCTGGTGTCTGCAGTCTACGTCCTCCTGTGACTGGATCCATGACCATATTTTTACCGTTAAGAAAATCACTGCAGTCACTAAGTGAAGACTAAATATCGCATGAGACTGGCAGAATGAAAGAACATTTTGCATTCAACTCAGCTTGTACAGGGGTAGAGGACTGTAGACATAACCTTGGCAAGGAACGCAAGAGTCATTAGAAGAATTTAATTTTTAAATTAAATTTATATGCTGTCCATCTTACCATCCAAACCGACTTTTTATTCGAGTGGCTTACAATAAAGAGAAAATAATACTACATCCAGTTTTGGTTACCATACTAAAAAAAAAAGATGTTGAGACTCTAGAAAAAGGACAGGGAAGAGCAACCAGGAGGATGAGGGGACTGGAGGCTAAAAGATACGATGATCGGTTGCAGGAACTGGGCCTGGCTAGTCTAGGGAAGAGAAGGACCAGGGGAGGCAGGAGAGCAGCCTTCCAATATTTGAGGGGCTGCCCCAGAGAGGAGGAAGGAATCAAGCTACTTTCCAAGGCACCGGAAAGCCAGACACGGAATAAAGGATGGAAACTGATCAAGGAGAGATTCAACCTGGAAATAAGGAGGAATTTTCTGACAGTGAGAACAATCAACCCATGGAACAGAAGTTGCCTCTAGAAGTTGTGGGAGCTTCATCACTGGAGGCTTTCAAGAAGAGATTGGACAGCCATCTGTCAGAAATGGTGTAGGGTCTCCCGCTTGGGCAGGGGGTTGGACTAGATGACCTATAAGGTCCCTTCCAACCCTGTTATTCTGTTATTTTCCTCTACGACAACCTATCCCTAATCTGTCTTTTAAGTTTTGAATTTTTACCTATATTATAGTTACGTCCACAAATCCTGCCACTAACCTTCATTGGCCATCGGGGAATAGAAGGAATCAACTGCTTTGGGGGTTTTCTTTTGCACACACACACACCCCACAACCCCCCACTTTGCCAAAAATCCCAGGTTATATGTCTTCAGCCATATTCCCAGTCCTTCATCTTTACCAAAATGCACATTTTGTGCAATTAAAACTATACCTGTTGATTAAAGCGGATATTTTTTTTCCCCCTTTCTACAAATAGCTTGGTTGTGCTTGTTTCTATTGCTATTATCACAAGCCACAGCAAAATATTTTTCAGTAGAATAATCTTGTCTGCTGTTGTGGTATATCACATTTTATTTCTAGTACCCAATAACTGGTTTTGGGCACATGATGGTGCTAAAGAGCCAATAACTGCGATAGGAAAGAAATAATCAGCATTTGCCTCAAACAGAGAGAGTGGATTTGAGACAGTATCTATGCAAACTTTTCAATTTAAAACTTGGAAAAAGTATCGTGCACAATAACAAACAGAGTGGGTGGAGTAAACAGATTTGTACTTCTCCATTTTTAATCCTTCTTTGGGGAAGAAACCTGTGGATAACCAACGTGTGATTGTTTAGAGACTCTCAAAACAATCCAGATTCCTAATGTCAAAAATCCTCTAGCACAGAACCAAGCCATCAAGTCTTGCGTTAAAATCCCAAAAGGAGAAGCCCTCGTTTTCTTAGGCAGTCTGCTTCACTGTCAATCAACCCTGTCATCCTCAAGTTTCATCAAAAACCCCAATCTACGTTTACTCAATTTAGCAGGATGGGAAATCTCATCGCATGGAAGAAGCATCATAGTAACTCCCAAACCAGCAACCAACCAACTAACCACGTTATAGCACTTAGCAATAGCACTTAAACTTATATACCGCTTCACAGTGCTTTCCAGCCCTCTCTAAGTGGTTTACAGAGTCAGCAGATTTTCCCCAACAATCTGGGTCCTTATTTTATTGACCTCAGAAGGATGGAAGGCTGAGCTGGTCAGGATCGAACTGCTGGCTGTGGGCAGAGTCAGACTGCAATGCTGCATTCTAACCACTTCTTGGTTAATGGCTATGTAACATGGAAACCAATCCTCCCTGGTCACTTAATGTGGAAATTCACAAAGACTCAGTAAATTATATAGCAACACAAATTGCGGTCCATCAAAGATGGCCACTTCAAACATCTCCCTCTCCCTCCCTACTTAATGGTGCAGCCATTTCTCTCCACAGCTGAGTTGCTACTGTTCTGTATCCTGTACAGATGCAGATAGATAAACTCCACAACACATCCATAACAAAGTACTTTTATTGGTTCATCAGGTATCCTCATAACTCACATTTGTGATGAAGTTCTTCTTTCATGACCAATCCTTTGCATATCTGTCTTGTAGGTAAAAAGATGGCTTATCTCCTATCCTTTTTCTCCCGTCTTGTAACGATAGAAGTAGAATAGTTACCACGAGTCCATGAGTACAGCCAAGAGTGAGGAAAACCTCCCCGCAATCCCTCAAGGATCAATTGAGTGACCAAACAGGATTACAGATGTGGTCACAGGATATGGACTACATTTCCCAGGATACCTTAACTACATTTACTATGATGCATTCCCTTAAGGGAACAGCTCACAATTGCTACCTAACTATCCAATTCCCATACACTGGCTGGACAGCGCAGCTACTACATTATGAAACAAGCCACCTGCATCACAGAGTTCCAGCCCATCAAGAAAAATTAGCAAACTACTGATGTGAAAGATATCACCATAAAGGACTTCAGAGGAAGCCCGATTGTTATCACAATAGAGATCCTAATGGTCCTTGACATACGCTGCACATGCCAGCTTCTCAACTTCAATCCTCCTGTTCATCTTCTCTCTGTGCCTCGTTCTTGAACGTGGTTTCTGAAATCTCAGGCTCATGGAGGGAAGGGGGAGGGCGGAGAAGCCCCAAATCAAAAATTCAATTCATCTCTTTCAAGAGAACAGTCAACGGTTCAGCAGAGAAGAACCTGGAAAGCAGGCCGGCCATCCTGACAAATCCTGGATGCCTCTCTCGCAGTTCACCCCTTGCCAGAAAAACCCAGGTCGGTTTGCCTGATGATACCATGTTTCTCATATAATAAGGCCGGGTCTTATTTTTTTTTTGAGCCCCCCAAAAATGGCTAGGCCGTCTTTTCGGGGGTGACTTAATTCCTCCCCCCTTGCATTTTCAGGCAGGCGGGCGGCGATGGCTTGGTTGTTGACCTCGGCGTTGGTGGGGCACTTTGTATCAGGGTCAACGCAGGCAGCACCATATCCGGGTGTGCAACAAAAGTACTTCCTAACGGCAAGCCCCCCGCTGCCATTTCCCCCCCATTTTGCATGTTTTAATATAGGCCTTAATTTGGGGGGAGGGGCTTAATTTCATTTCATGCCTATAAAACATGCTGGGACTTCCTATTGGGGGAGGCCGTATTGTTGGAGAAACACGGTAGATCTTAGCTCCCATGTCCAAGGCCAGCTTCAGTACTATTCGTTTTATTGGTAAGCTCTGGCTGCAAGCAGGGGTAGAGGAAGGCAGAATGGGACAACTTGCCACAGCCAACTCGTTGCGGCAAGCTCACTGTGGCCAACTCGCCATGCTCAGCTCATTGCAGCCAACTCATCATGGGCAACTTGGCACAGGACAACTCACCATGGCCAACTTGCTGAGGGACAACACTCCACCGGACAACTTAACAATTCAATTTAATTCTTTAAAATAATTTTAAAAATAATTTTAATTTTTGTCATTCACATTTCACATCGTCCCTCCTTTTGCACCCTTTCTTTAAGGATTCTATTCCACCATTTCTTTGGTATTAGTGTAACTCTTTTCCTGCAGCGAGTTGAGTTGACCGTGGCTAACTGTCATAGACCAGAGGGAAATTGCACCAGGAGATAAAGTGGAACTTTTCTACAGATGAAAAGCTGACCAGAAGGGGGACTCAAGAAACTGACTAAGGACCAGGCAAATCCCAAATAAATAAATCATATGGGTGTGGGGGAGATGCCTCGCCTTTCCGCAAGACTTGTTGGGCAAGAAAGGACTAAGACTGTGCATCAAAGTTGCAGGAACAAGGAAATGATAATTGAAAAATTCAGTTAAGCAGGCCTACAAACGGAATCATTTTAAAAACATCCTTTATTTCTCTTAGAGTTGCAAAGGTGATGCCTTCAACAGACAGAGCGCTGAGCATCTTGGCATCTGTTGTGCTGCAGATCACACCCAGAAGTGGTTTTGCAGAGTCTACTTACTACTTTGGGTGAGAAGGTACAGTATTCCTTTCATGTCCTGCCCTTCTCTTTGCTTGAATAAAGGTGGCTGACGCATAGTTAAATACAGGAGGACCTTTCCGTGCCGAATTAAGGAACAGAGATCTTTAGAAAGACCTCTCTTGTGATCTTCTGTTGGGAAACGTTCCTCGTGGGGAACATACTCTCAGATCCTAAGCTATTTAAGGGGTTTGAAACTGAATTCTTTAAATTACACCCAGAAAACAATGGGCAGCCATCCTCACAAGAGTCTCAAACTGGCTCCTGCGACTTTTAGTATCCGAGATGCCACATATTACAACTGAAGCTTC